ACTTTAAAAACCTTCTACTTTGCAGCGGTGCATTCTACTCTGGCCTATGGATTGTCCGCTTGGGGCAACTCCTGCGGTGTCGAGAGGGTTTTGATATGTCAAAAACGCATTATCCGAACCATGTTCAGGCTTCCTTTCAGGGAATCATGCCGTGAAACCTTTAGAAGGGAAAAAATACCAACTGTCATAAATATCTATATTTTGCAGTGTGCTTGTCGAGTTTTTAAGAAGTCTGGTGGCTGTGCAAGGTTTGGCGACGTTAATTACTACAGAACGCGTAACGCGGATAAATTGTATGTTCCTTTGGCTAGGTTGTCTCAGGTGCGGGATGGTCCTGAAGTTACATCACTGAGAATTTATAATCATCTGCCTGAACGCATTAAGAGCACTACGGGCTTTCAAATTTTTAAGGGGACTCTTAAGGCCATGCTTGCTGAGTGCCCTTTCTACTCCTTGATTGAGTTTTTCAATCATAACTTCATTTAGATTCTTGTAATTTGATTTTGTTTTTTGTGAATGATATTTTACCTTTATTTTATTTATTTGACAATTCCGATACATTGTACCTATATGTCTATGGAAATAAACGATTTGATTTGATTTGATTATTTTTCCGGTAATTCACTAATATTTAACATAATTTTTCCGTAAATTTTGTGATTCCCCAATATTTCTCTGTATTTCATTTATTATTGTTGCGAAAATGCATCGACAACCCAGCAAGGATTCTGAGAAAATTACTTTTTTACAACGGGCAGCACGTCTTTTCTGAAAATTTCATCATATATGATTCAATGTTTTTCTGGACAGATCCGGAGTGCGATTTCGACTATAAATAGCGCGTAGTAATAAGTTTGAGTTTAGTTTCAATCCGATATTTGTATGTTTTGATAAGTGTTTTATTATTGTATCAATATTTTGTTATTAAAAAATGGATTTTCAAATTAACTATACTTCATTCCTAGTATTTTCGCTTTTTTATAAATAAACGTGGCAACATGGCACATTTACTTCCGAATTCCTTCCATAGACTCAGATCCGCTGGGCAAACAATATAAGGGATGATATGCTAGCAGCCCAAGGGGTAAGCCACCCCTGAGATTTTTGACAAATATTTCCCCTTGTGGGAATTAAGTATTTCCCAAATATCGCCCTTATTTCCTATATCATTCAGTAATTCCCGATATTGCCCTATAATTCCCCTTAATGCCTTATAATTTTCTTATTTTTCCGGTAATTCACTAATATTTAACATAATTTTTCCGTAAATTTTGTGATTCCCCAATATTTCTCTGTATTTCATTTATTATTGTTGCGAAAATGCATCGACAACCCAGCAAGGATTCTGAGAAAATTACTTTTTTACAACGGGCAGCACGTCTTTTCTGAAAATTTCATCATATATGATTCAATGTTTTTCTGGACAGATCCGGAGTGCGATTTCGACTATAAATAGCGCGTAGTAATAAGTTTGAGTTTAGTTTCAATCCGATATTTGTATGTTTTGATAAGTGATAAGTTAATTTTGTAATAAATCAATCAGTTTAATAGAATATATTAAGCCGGGTCCAGACTCTGTAAAAAAACATGTGGATAACAAGGTAGTACAAGAAATTAATTTAATATGAGCTAATTAATGGAATAATTAGCCGGGTAATTAGCAAGGCAATTGGTCAACGGATTTTCTGGAAAATTCTATAAACTTCTATGTGGTTCTATAGATTTCTATTTGGAATTATTTTTCTAGAACATGTCATTGTGTTCTATTTAATGCAAGATATTCTATGGTGAATACATGACAGCAAACCGATAGCATCCGAAATAGAGCAAGTTAATCAAATCTTGGCGGACTTTGTGAAAAATTTAGATGATAAGAGACAAGAGCAAGACAAAGGGAAAGCCTAGATGAAGAGGTCCAAAGACGGAAAGAAAAACAAGACTAGCTTGCATCGCTTTTACAACGCAACAATGCTTATATCATTTTTACAACAAAAAGAAGACGGAAGACAGAAAGAAAAACAAGACGAACAGGACCGGATTCAGGAAAACATTAGATTTCAGTGTGAATGGATGCAAACCGTAATCTCTGAGAATCAAACTAGAGTGGAGAAAATTCTGAAACTACAAACTGATAAATTTCCATCCCAAACTTTTTATTTTGTATAACATGACTATGACTACATGACAAAAATTGTCTAATTTGATTGACTACTGAAGGACTTAACAACGAACGGTGAAGTTGAAAGTTTACCAAGGTGGAACGGTGCGGTTCGGAAAGGAAACGATGAACGGTTGAGTTTATAAAACAGGCTTTAGATTTTTTTTTTTCCGAATTAATAAATGCGAAATGTTTAGGTGCGCTCGTTACATGCGCTAATAATTCCACAATATTTCCTCCATATTTTTTTTTTTTTTTTCCTTTATTTCAACATGGTAGTTAAACAATATATGTATGAACCTAAACTAGAGACCCTGAGCTGGAGAGCTATACAGGTCATTCAGTATCACATATAACATTATTACAATATACCGTATTATTTTATACATTATACAATATCACACAAGAGAAAATATCCAGTACAAGTAGGTACTATATCACAAAGTTGTTTCATTTATGAATATCTTAGCTCTAAATTGCAGATAAAGTCTTTCATTGTACAGTCCCAAAGTATCCATCGAAGATCAGCTGCTTCAGCTTACACTTGAAGCAAGTTATGTTCAATCTTTTAACAGGTTGTGGAATTCGATTGTAGTACCTTAGTCCTTCTGATAAGATGCTGCGTTGGCCAGTTGTAGTGTTCATTGCCGACGTTCTTAAGTTTTCATTGAGTCTGGTATTGTGCTGATGGACTGTGTTGGCTGGGATGAGACTTATTGTAGAGTGAATATTGGAAGTCTTGCAAGAATGGATAAAGATGCACGATTGCAAGATATACAGAGAGTGAACGTCCAGGATGCCATTCGGATAATATAAGTCTTTTGTTGGAAACATTTCCTTATAATACCTGGATATTTCCTCGATATTTCTTGATAATACCTCGATATTTCCTAATAATACCTTACTTATGTTTCCCAATATTGCATGTATTTCGTTATATATATTTCCCCGTTATACCTAATATTTCCCTGTATTTCCCCGTATTACCACATATTTCCCTAAGGTGGTGACAATAATTCCTAGGTAGTCTACCCCTTGTAGCAGCCCCATTGACACATTGACACATATTTTCAATACTTCCCTCCAAAATAAATCTTTTCCAAATCATTTCAAATCAACGATAATATGTCCTGTCTTTAAGACTGGGAATAGAATTGATGTTGTCAATTATAGACCTATCAGTATTTTAAACTCAATTGCTAAAATATTTGAAATTATTTCTGCTATTATGATTTATGTACAAAATAGTATAGCGGCACAGGAGCATGGTTTCCTTTGTGTTAAATCAACTATGATTAACCTTTCTGTATTTACATGTAATGCTTCTGAAGCAATTGATAGCAAAGAGCAGCTGAACACTATTTACATAGACTGTGCAAAGACCTTTGACAAAGTGGATCATCGGGTATTGCTGAGCAAGCTTGTTGAATTTAATTTCTCTAAGGATGCTACCTAGAATCGCGAATGCAAAAAGTTCGAGTTGGCACTTCCCTTTCACAAGCTTTTCCAGCAACATCTAAAGTTCTACAGAGTAGTAATTTGGGCCCATTGTTGTTTTTGATGTCCATAAACGATATTGTAAGCGTTGTTGAAGAGTCAGAATGTCTGTTATTTGCAGATGATTTCAATATTTTCAAGTGTGTTACAAATGATAACGATTGTGTTGCACTTCAGGATGATCTGAACTCAGTTTCCGATTGGTTCAGAAGAAATAAAATAATGGTTAACTCTAAAAAAAGTTTTGCTATGTCATTCACAAACAAAATGAATCCTATATTGTTTTCATATTCAATTGATAATAACTCGGATAATAATGAACTTCAAAAAAAGACTGAGTGCATGGATCTTGGGGTGTGCTAGGATCATTGATAGGATAGTAACTGACTCAATACAATATACAATAGTCTCATGTCTCATCGGTTTATTTTCAGCGCCCACTATTGGTAACTAATAATAATAATAATAAACATGGCAAAGGAAAAAAATACCACTGATGTTGACAGTTAACAGGTTATTGATATAAAGCCGGAATATTAAAGTTCCAAGCAAGAACCAAACCCTGATGAAGAATACTTTCTGTAAAGGCTGTTACACACGCTTTCCCATAATGCATAGCATAGTGCATAAATATCTATTCCAGTGGAATTGTTTATGCCAAACTGTCAGCTGAAAATCAGGTGACCTTCATTACAACCTGTGATTGGTTGGAGCTTATGCTTTTGCGTTATACAAAACCGTGTCTGACGGCCTTAGTCCCCAATGATATGAAATGTTATGAGTCAATGAGTCCAACACCTTTTTTCTAGATACTCTTTGGTCGTATGTTGATGTTTACCACCAACCATTTCCCATTAAAGTTGCACTCTGACAATAAGTTCTATAAATAGAATACGAAAATTGCGTTTCGAGGTCATTACTCATTGCATTGTCTTTGTCCTCCAATTGGGTCAATATAAACCACTGAACCGATTAACTAAATATTTTTGCCAATTTCTTTACTCTATTTTAATTCTGCCATAAAATATCTGTTTAACCTTCAAAAACACATTTCAAGAATCCATTAGAAAGTGTACTTATCTAATTACAAAATAATTGAAATAAATTAATAAACATTTATTCAAATTTCTGGCTATTTATGGGATATTTATTATTAGAAATCGCAAATCACACCTCTCTGTTTTGGCTAATGCCAATGTTTTTTTTTTTTTTGTATTTGCATCATTAGACTGATTATTTTTAGCTTGTTTATGTTTGCACATTAAACTTTGTATCCAAACATTGCCAAACCTGCCTCCCAAACACGATTATTAAATTCCAATGCTTTTATGTTTTTTTTTTTAAGGTCTGCTGTCTACCTTCTATCTGAAACACTTTCAACACAGCAAAAATATATCTACAAGTTTTGTCCTACTTAAAACCATTGGTGCTGGTGAACCTCCAACCAACCCTACCCAACCTCCGACCAAATCAACCACTTCTAGTGGAGGTGGCACGGGGAAAAATAAGAATACACTTTCATGTCCGAAATGTGGAGATCCTTGCACTCATGTGGAGACTTTTGTCAGTTCAACAAGGTAAATATTATCTTGAAATTGTATTTAAATCGACTAACACAATTTAGATTTGTTAAATGTGAAAAATGCCACCACTTTTTCGTGGTCCTGAGCGAAGTCGACAGTAAAAAGAAAGAAGGTGTGGACCTCAAAAATGGACAATACAGAAAACCTCCGCCTCCACCTAAAAAGATTTACGACTACTTGAATAAGCACGTTATTGGTCAAAATCATGCCAAAAAAGTAATATTTACAAGGCTTGAGTGACTATTTAATTTAATTCTGAAGTTATTTTTCACAGGTTTTATCTGTAGCTGTATATAATCACTACAAAAGGATTTATAACAACACCCCATGTTCAACAAATACTGGTAGACAAGATATGGCTGTAATGGAACAAGGGCCACATCACAATATGACACATAGAGGTAAGTATTCCGAAATTGTGTGCGGATTGTATTTTAATTAAATAGATGATTCTTAGTGAAACCACAGCTTCAGTATTCTTTTGCTTATTTTTTTTTTGACAATGTTTTCCGGCTTGTGTTTGTATGTAATGCTTTTGTATCTGAAACGAACTTTATTTGATTAAATCGCAGATTTGCTCCATATAACAGGCATGGGGCACAATCCTATGGGTCCGCTCACTTTCAGTCCTACAGAATCACCCTACGATAAAAGTACGTCTCAAACTGCTGTCGGGTCTGACATTTTAGAACGTACCACCCACGAACTGAAGCTGGAGAAAAGCAACATTTTGTTGCTGGGTCCAACTGGATCAGGTGATTTTTTTTTTTTTAGTGAGGTTAATGTATGGGTAATAATATAAATTTTGTTATAGGTAAAACTCTGTTAGCTCAGACCATAGCTCAGTGTCTAGATGTTCCTTTTGCAATCTGTGATTGTACCACATTAACCCAAGCAGGTTATGTCGGTGAAGATATTGAGTCTGTTATAGGAAAATTATTACAAGGTTTTTAGTATTGTTAATGAAACTTACATAAATAGTAACTATTTTTGCTTTAGATTCCGGATATAGTGTGGAAAAAGCACAAATCGGAATTGTATTTCTGGACGAAGTAGATAAAATTGGCGCTGTACCTGGAATACATCAACTAAGGTAGGTTTTCAGGAGAAAAAAAAATTGTTATTTATTTTGCAAATTATCCAGAGATGTAGGTGGCGAGGGTGTGCAACAAGGCATGCTAAAAATGCTGGAAGGTACTATTGTAAATGTCCCAGAAAGAAATTCACCTAGAAAGTTAAGAGGCGAAACTATCCAGGTGGACACAACGAATATTCTTTTTGTTGCTAGTGGTGCGTACAATGGTTTGGAAAGGCTGATTCAGAAAAGAACCAATGAAAATGTATGTCAAACAATAAATTACAATTTTTCTTCTCTAATAGCTTTTGTATATTGTTTTAGTATTTGGGTTTTGGATCTCCAACTACAGGTGGCCAAGGCAGAAGAGCTGTAGCCCAAGAAGCAACTCTACATTCTTCTACACAATCAGCAGAAGAAGAAAATCATGATAAAGATAAGGCCCTAAGACAAGTACAAGCTAGAGATCTCATTGATTTTGGAATGATACCGGTAAGACCTTTCTCTAGATCTTTAGGACTTTGAATATTTTCATTTTTCTCTACTTCTTATTTCATACTCCATACTGTTTAAGTTTCTTGATAAGTATAAACCTGTGTGGACCATTATATTGAAAGTATATTATGCTACTTCTAATTTATTTATTCAGTATTCTTTTTAGGAATTTGTTGGTCGTTTTCCAGTTCTAGTACCTTTCCACTCCCTAGATAAAAATTTGTTAGTAAGGATATTGACAGAGCCCAAAAACGCTTTACTTCCCCAGTACCAGAGGCTGTTAGCTATGGACCAATGTCAGCTAACTTTTTCCCCTGATGCTTTAAAGGCGATAGCTGCTCAGGCTATGGAAAGGAAGACTGGAGCTAGAGGGCTTAGAGCAATAATGGTTAGCTAAAAAAAAAAAAATTGAAATTAATTTTTTGTTATTGTTTTCTTTTTTTTTTAGGAAACTCTTCTCTTAGAACCAATGTTTGAAGTACCTGGTGCAGGTATTTCAGAGGTCCACATAACAGAGGATTGCGTAAAAGGCAAATCCCCACCAGGTTATATAAAAACTAATACTGAGGTCTCAGAAGAAGATGAAATTAATGATACTATTAGGTTAAAACAATGATATTGGGGGGAAATGCATATTTAGGTACCAACATTTAAATGAATATTATGCTGCACTGTCAAAATTGACAGGAAAAGAAATGTTGATATGGAGGTTGGGTGGCAAGAAGTTAGTCTTAATCAAGCCCCTAAATCAAGTTCTCGGTAAAAAAAAAGTGTAAAAAGATTGTACTAAACATAACGTAACTAAAAATTTCATGTGATAAGTAGAAACAAAACAAAAATTGTATGGAAATAAACACTGCTGTATTCAAAGTTTTGTAATTTTATTTTGTTGTCACATAACAATAATTTTTTTCTTCTGATCACTGTTAGTTTTGAAAGTAATACAAACTTATTATTTTTCTCTTTACGAAAGCTGTTTTATTTGTTCTTAGAGGTAAGGATTTTGTTGCTAAATAAATATTGTTTTATTTATAAGTTTATTTTAGGCGTAAATGAATTATTGTTGACTGTCCTAGAAGTCAGTTGCAGATAATTGTGATGTTTCTAGAAAGGGTTAATATTAATTATACACAATAAATTATTGAATTGAGTATTGAGTTTTATTGAGAATTTCCTACTTCCCTTTAGTTTTCATGGATGATTTCCATTCAAATCAGTTTCATTGAGAACAAATAATTGGACGGGTAACCGTTTGCCGCTTCGAAAACCAGACATGCTCACTGTGTAAGTAGTACCCACTGCATCGAGCCAAATTAACACATTTTTTTAATTTACCGGTTCGACACAACACCTGGAAGGCATCTTTGTACATGGCCTCGTTTTTACTTGCATTGCCGAGGAACGCAGGCTTTAGTAAGTAGTGGTGTTTCTATAATCCTCATTCCTCAGACAGGTAAGTTATTCCATAATGTATTATCGAATCAGTGTAAATAACAAAATGAAATTTTCTCAATGAAGTTTAAGAGTTAGATTCTTTTTCAATCAGAAAAAAAGTACCTACTTTAGAAAATTAGTTGAGCGAGCAGACATTTCCCCAGTCACTGGTTCTGTATTAAATAGTCAGAGTAAACTTTTGGAACGCAAGTATTTAAATTCAAAATTAAATAGATCAAAAGGCAAACCATTAGCATTTCACTTTTAATGAGTAGGTACCTACTCATTAGTCTATTTGTTCACGAAATAACGCGCATTGTTTGTACCTACATACAACTTTAGTTTGTAGGAGTAGGTCGGTAAAGGTAGTACCTTTTACTATACTATTTTACATTGGACAAAGGCAATAATTACTTTTTGTTGATTATTGTTAAGTGCATGTGTAATATATATATAGGTAAGTTAATGAGGATGACTCGATGTTTTTGTTGTTTTGGTTTTATGTTTAAAAATAAATCAACTTAATAATTGTTTTCTACATTTTTGTAGGTATTAGGTATACCTTATTTAGTTTAATACTTCAAGCATGCCTAACAAAACATTTAGATCAGAAAACTTTTTTTTTTACTTTCCAACAATAGTGTGTCGATCACGCTAGGCTCGTGGGTTAAACTTCTTCTCGTGAATAAACATTCATTTAACTCACTTGGTGTATAAATAACTATTAATTAGGTATCAGTAAACCAATGTTTTGACTTGAGTTTTTTTAATCAATATTAATTAGTGGTTTTATTTAAATATATAAGGTTATTATCAAGGCACTAGAGGGTGAGTATATTTTAACAAAGATAAGAAAAATATTTTCTAAAAATAAGAAATTATTTATCAAAAATTTAAGATTAAAAATTATTATGTTTATGTTTGACTTGAAATTGATTAGCAATTTATAATACCTAATAATTACCTAGATTAGGGAATATAGTTACCTACAATATTCTATTTGGGATGGTTTTTAGGAATAATAAGCACTTCTCAATATAGATACTAAATATTTCATTTATGTAATGTCTATTTTCGACTAAATTAAGCGAATGGCAATAATAATTATTATAAGTGCGGAGCTTTCAACATTCAATCATATAGAACAATTTTTTTTTAAACTTTTAAAATTGCAAATGTTCAAGAAAAGTGAAATGCAATAAGCTTTTTCTGTGCTTCTATGGTTCACCCAACAGTTTTTGTTTGTTTGTTAAAAAAAAAGTAAATGGTATATAAACATAAAGTAGGTAGGTATTACACTACCTACCTGGTATATGGAACATAAACAAATCTTATAAGATAGATTCTAGAATGATTCTAGGAAATATTTCTACTTGCGCCCGGCCCACTTGCCCTTCGGGTCAAGATCGACCTTCGACCAGATCGACCCACTTGCGGTTGATAAATATAGTCCCAATGAAAGTGCTTCACTTTTTAATATTTTAAAAGTTAAAAAAGATTTGGTTTCTGATGTCTGGTTAACTAATTCAGTCTGTTATGCCACCCTTCCACGCAGTTAGTCCTATGTTTTTGCCGGTAATCATTCCAGATTTCCAATTTTCAACAAAGTAGTCGTTGAATAAAGAAATTTTCTGGAGAACTTTTTATTATAATCATCCATCTATCCTCTACATCACCAGGTGGAAGATGAGCCAACGAAGCACACATCTTTAGCATATTCTTCAACAAGTCCTATACTTTTGCACCGTCCTCCACAAACACTGATTAAAGTGAAAGTTACATACCGATACTTTCACGCCTGGCAGTTCACTTTTTAGAGCCGATATCCCACTCTTGGATCTGAGTTTTCACCAATTCAATGAATCTTTCGTAGGTGACTCTTGCATAAACTACTGGAATCACATTAGTTTTCTGTTGGGTACTTCCAATATCAACATGAATTGTGTATAGCTGATAAAAATTTTCGCTGCATTTCTTGAAAGTTCCATCCACCAAAAATGTTTTTCCATTGGCCATAGCCTCTTTTCTTAACTTAGTACCAAAAATTAATACCTTGTCTTTGCCGTTGCCATCTTCAGCAAGAAAAAATATCGAACTATGTCCTCAAATTTAAATATTTCTGAAGGCCAAATTATGCTCTGGCAATCCTGGGGATCCTTTATTGTACCCATTGCTTTGGATCTGTGACGATTGAGAGTTGACTTCATAGACTGAAATTTGGGAATGGTGGTGACAAATTCCAAACCACGGTCGTACAGGTGCTTTACCTCATGTATGGACGACATTGACGTTGTAATGTTGTCTTTACTCGAGCCCTCGTCTCAACTGCCGATATACATATCTATTATCTATATATGTATACCTCATTCAGTACAAGATCAGATTTACATATGTGATCAATTACTATTACTTTCACAATTTCTTCATCACCAACACGGATAAGTCTACCACGACATTTCTCAGCCTTGTCTTTCGTGCACGTCCAAGTTTTATTATCACCTTTAACACTTTTAATTCGGTACCGGTAACCATTATGCATTGCACAAGGCTTACCTTTCGTAGATTTTCAATAATTTTTAGCTTTCCTTCCCTTCCATTCTGAATCAAATTTAGAGAGATAGTGATCGCAAATCTAAATATTTACAAGTAGCTAGGTATCTACCCCAAAAAAATAAATAATATCCATGCATTCATGGAAATTATACTTTCTCGGCCTTTTATGACTAGAGGAATAATTAGGATTTGAAATCGAAATTTCTTTGAATCCCCTGATGAGAGGCGCTAATGCACCGGTTCAAAACAGGTAAAAATAACACGGGCGCAACTGAGTCGAATTTTACCCGGAGCGCAAATGAGCGAGCGGTCCGACAGCAAATTCTAGCACATAAACAGGTCAAAAGAAATAGGTAGGTACCGAAAAAAAGTTGGGCTACTAATTTGCTCTAAATGAAACATAATTGATAGGCCTATATAACACTAATGACACTAGGGTTTCTTAAATAATTCTAATATGAGTATACTGATTTCTTCTTTTTCAGATTTTTCTTTTATCATATCATGGAACAGAATATAAGAAATAGAAATAAATATGTAAGTCAAGAACAAGAAGATGAGGAAAATGAGGACCTACTAAATGCGTCTAAAAAAGAGGTAGGTGATTTAATATAGATATTTATTACCTATACTTACTCACTTTTTCAATTTCTTGTGAAGCTACAAATTACTTACCTACCTGATAAAACTCCATTATGTGTAAAGTACGCCGATTTTAATCTGATACTCCAAAAAAATGTGAGCTGCTGGTTTCCTACGTTAGAACGCCAATGGTCACGCGTCACACCCGTTTTTGCCATATACTTCACCCCCAAGTTCCTCATACGGAAAGTGTCAGACTAAAATCGACGGACAATAGGTAGGTATGAAGGTACCTCCAGGATATGACCTAATTTCTGGAAAAGTATCCCCAGGAAAGCTATTGTAAAATTATGCAATCTTTTCAATGCGTCCTTTAGGCTTAGATATTTAAACTTTGAAATGCTGCAGAAGTTATCATAATACCAAAACCCGGAATATCACCTCTCATAGGCCAATATCATTATTATCTAAGTTCTATGAAAAGATACCTACTGCTAAAAAGAATAAAACCAATCAATCATAGAAAGACAGGAAATCATTCCAACTCATCAATTTGGACTCTGCATCAAGCACTCTACGATTTTCCAAATAGATAGGTACACAGTATAACCAATGTAATATAATCGCTGGAATAGGGAAAAGTCTGTTTGGTAGTTTTCCTCGATGTAGGTAGCGCAAGCATTGGACAAAGTTTGGCATGAAGGCAAACTATGAACTGAAACTTTTTGTTTCTGCCAAAACAATATTCTGATAATTTGGAATCATAATTATGTGATACACATTTCAGAGTAAAACAGGAAGATTTTGAGTCGAATTTACGAAAAATATAAGCAGGTGTACCTTAGGGTAGCGTGCTAGGTCCCTACTTATATTTTTTTAGTAGTTGCGACGTCCCAAAATCGTCAATCACATATAGCAACACGCCGACGATACTGGTTTAATTACCGTGGATCGTGGCGCCGTCTTAGATGGCGCCACGATCAAATTTCGACCGTCTTACTACTTATATTTTGCATACATGCACAAAACTTGGATTGGTTTTCTTTGCTTTTCCTAGCCATACTGATGAGACCTGATAGGTCGAAATGCGTCTATGGATGGAAAAGCAAAGAAAATTAATCCAAAATTTTCTCGTTTTGGACATACATATAACATATCGACATTTTCCAGTGGTGCGTGGAGTGTGGACATTCACGTACATTTTTAACTCAACCAAAGGGTTCGGGACGCCACTGGAATAATCAAGCCTCTTTTAAGCCCGCATTACGTCTGTCTATTTTTTCGTGCATTTCTACATGTATTCATGCCTGTAAGTCTGTTTTTTTTTAAAGATAAAAGTCAATATGACATTATGTTGGCAATAAATGTAAAATTGTCAATGCTTTCAAATTTTTTATGTAGAAAAGGCTTGTGTTGCCAACCTAGTTACTAAATTTTTGACTTGGGGAATTATCTTTAAATAAAAAACAAACTTTTTTTTTAAAATAAATTCTTTAAATTCATGAATTTTTTTACGCGAGCAGATGTCAAAAGTGTCAAAAACACGGCTAATATTATTTCCGCTTTGACCGCTTTACATTCGTGTATTTCTTCCAGGGACGGACTGGTTTCTGAACTTACGGCGGGCGATTTCCTACATGGGGCGCCATCACCAAGAAAAAGTTGAAGGAGGTACCTATAGGGTCACTTGAGCCTGGGAACTTTTTCGATACCGTGGGTATGGTTTTGCTCGTTTTGTGCTAGTTTTCACTGGTTTTGTGCTGATTTTTTACTGCTTTTATGTTGGTTTAGCTGGTTTTGTAATTCAGCACATATCCTGCTATACCTACCAGCAAACAACAGCAAAACCCAGCAAAATCCAGCAATAAAACAGCTAAACCGGCTTAAAACCAGTGAAAACCAGCACAAAACCAGCAAAATACGCCGATTTTCCTACGGTATTGAAAGAGTTCCCAGGCTCAAGTGACTATAACTACTAGTTGAAAGTTAGGCTTATCATATGTTATCGATAAGAACGAATCACCACACCGTTATATTTATATCCCAAGAAAAAAATCAACATTTTATTGAGGTTTTCGCTAGTCTTAGCTACATTATTGATAGTTTCGTTATTGTCTAACGACATAAAGTAATTTTTTTCCATAGACATTATCATAAACACTTCCAGGTTGTTGTTATTTAGGTCACTTCGTAATTGATTTAAATATACTCCAGCTTCTTGAGCTTCGATCATAACAAATTTTCGCAACTGATAGTCGACAAATATTTGTGAGCTTTTGAAAGTATTGGATAAGCATATGCGTGAAGGTTGACACGGTCCAATAGTGTAGGTACCTACTTGGACAACTGTTCACCGAGTAAGTGACGAGCGAGCTTCCTCTTGATCCAAGTTCTCATCTAAGTGCACTTCGACCAAGCACTTGGACCGTGACAAACTGGTTCTAAGATTGAATCTGATTGATAGCCTGTAACTGCAATAAATACAGTTTTTGCAAGACTTGCGAAGTGTTGTACTGGTAATTTACTCTAATCTTCACTAGAACGAATACACGAGGAAAGCGCAAGGCACAAGCAAGATGGTGCTTGTCGGGCGGGAGGCTCTCGGCACAAGAATACCGTGATTCGTGATGGTTGGAATAAAAACCTAACCTAATTTACAGAGACGCCCTCTATCGGGCGCGGTCAAAGTATCAGAGTTTAATATAAAACTTTAATGGCAATTCTGAATTCTCATTAATATGAGAGCGCTAAATTATTAAATAATCGATATTCCGAACTTATTTGAACGATGCCAATGGGGCACTAAATCTTGAGAACGCGGCAGGCGGAGCCCGCCTAGCTCGCCGGGCCAGTCCGTCACTGATTTATTCATGTATAAATATATGTAGAAATACACGAAAAAATACACAGATGTAATGCGAGCTTTAATTAGGTATATGAAAATAGTTTCCATAAAATCGACGGTTTCTTTTCTCAATATGAATAGATTTTTTTTGCAAATATAAGGAATCGCACCTTGATGTAAGGGTAAGGGACTCAACGTGTTCAATAAAATGCTGCCAAAAATGTTTAGAAACTTATTATACCTAGAGCTACTAAGAACATTCGAACTCGCCTACTCCTAAAAATTATATTAAAGAGTCACTGGAAACATTTAAACTCACCTACTCTTTTGAAAGCAGGACCCTAATGATTTGGACCAAAGACAATTGACTCTTGTTTCTGGCGTAAACTTATTTTGCATACAGTTTGGACCGAAAGTTATATAAGCACAAAATAAAACACTCCTTATGTTTATTGAAAGAATATTCATTTCCGTGGATAATTGTTAGAGGTATTTAGTTCATGGGTTATGGGAAAGGTCGGAAAGGATCGAGGAAAGAAACCACTCATCTTACGGTGACGTTTGGTATATTCATGTATACTTTTCCAAGCTTCAAAAATTTGTTGTTTAACCGATTTCTGAGTACATACCGAATTTCCAACGCTAATAGCCAACAGCACATGTGAACTATGTTGGAACCGTTGATTTTGGTGTGTACAGCGGCGGCGAAGCGAAGCCAACGCTTTCCAATGGGACCGTTTGTATTTGGCAAGCCTTCGGTAGTTGGGCGGAAACATCAAAGGGAAGCTTAATTTTGACGAATTTGGTGTGACGCAAAACATTTGTTCTTTGCGTACCTACCCATTTGTTTTTAACTTTTTGAAATGGAGTGGACAGAAGAAATGTGTTTCAAGCTAATTGAAATTTATAGAGATAATCCTATGTTGTGGGACCCTACAAATTTACAATTCAAATTTGCGAATTGGGGTCATACGACAAAAGTTCTCCAATGCAATACCAGAAATCCGGTATGGACGATGTTCTCAAATCCTTTCCAATGCTTTCCAGTTCCAACGCCAACGACAGCACATATGCCATTGGCGTTGGTCTACGTTGTAAATTCGGTCTGTACGCGACTTAAGCCACCAGCTCGCATTGAGCGATGGGTTCTTCGTCTTCAAGCATTCAAATTTAAAATAATTTACCAATGTGGAAAATCTTTATCAAGACTTAATCATATAAACGACGATCCACCAGATTCACTATTCGACAAAGAAAGTGAACACCATCCACGTCCTTATTATTAGAGCTCCATTCACCCAAAGCTATGCAGATTTCTCAAATAATAATTGAAAGTCACGAAGACGTCCAACTAGTTGATGCAATTAACAAAATAAATCAGGACGCTTGGGATGCGACTGATAAAAATATCTACTTTCCATTAAGGTTGGAATTAACACCTATGGGACCTGTATTACTCAGAGAGGAAATAAAATCGTTATACTGGCAACTTTACCCAAGTAGGTACTAGAACTAGCTCATGAAGGACACCCAGGCGAAACTGTCATGAAACAAAGATTGAGATTGAAAGTTTGGTGACCACTCATTAACAAACAAGCTGAGCGATTTGTAAAGCAGTGTCGCGACTGTTTGTTAGTTTCACAACCAAACAAATCACCCCCAATGAATCATCGTCACAAATTTCCAAATGCCTCTTGGCAATGCGTTAGACGTCATGGGGCCTTTACTCAATAATGATCAATTACTGGTGATTATAGACGATTACTCAAAATAACAAGAAATAAAATTCCTTAAAACAACTACTTCTGCAGTAATCATTGCACAGCCTCTAGAAATATTCTCTCGATTAGGAATTCCTAAATCAATTAAAGCAGACAATAGTCCACAATTTGCGAATCAAGAATTTACTGATTTTTGCATCCATCATAATATCAAATTAATTCAGACGCCACCATATTGCAACACTACCCCGCATAGAACTACAGGAAAAACTTCATCAGAATTACTATTCAATAGAAATATTCACGATAAAATTCCATCAATAAACTTGATTAGTGAAATCAGGAACAGGGCCGGCTCCAGGACCCGTGCAGCCTGTGCCCCTGCACGGGGCTGCAAAATCGAAGGGCGGTAAAAATCTCAGGGGAATTGTTGGGTAAAAAAACCACACTAAGGATTACAATAGCTTCATGATTTATTTCATCAATTATCGCGTTCGCCTATCACTGCCAGACTTGGACTCGGTACTCAGTGCCACAAACAATTTGAGCACAGTAATCCTAAGGACTGAATAAGTACGCAACTAGTTTTGCGCAATTCCAGGATGGCACGCGAACAGTTCGGAAAACGAGAACCCGAAAACACCTATCGCCTAGTTTCACGCATCCGCTAAGCGATTTGCATGTTTTGGTGTTATTTGGGTCGATTTCTCAAATAGCGAATCACCTCCGGGTTGGCTTTAACTTCAGGGTAAATAAATGTACGTGTCTGCAATGTTAACCCTCGAGTTATACGTAACTCCTGATGAGAACTACAAAGTAGGAAAGTAATCGGTATAAGAGGGGCGGCAAAAATACCTTTTGCACGGGGTGCCGAAATGTCTGGAGCCCGCCCTGACCAGGAATGAATGACAATGATGATCTCATAAACAAATAAAAAGGAAAAGTGAGAGAAGATATAGCACGTAATGCAAAAGACACAGAGATTAAACAAGGAGATAAAGTCATATTGAAAAACATGCTATCAACAAACAGAGTACTAAATTTAACAAAGAAGAATACACAGTACTGGGAAGAGAAGGAAATGAAATTAGTGTGACTAATGACAATGGAATATCTTTAGACGACACATTAGCCACACAAAGAAATTACCGGGAATTTCAGAAGATGATAAAATAATTAATAACCCATTAGATATATACAGAAGCTGACCCAAATTCCACTCCCCAAAATACCATAATGCATTCGACTCAACTGGAGGACCCGCAGAATATTGTTCCTTCCCCAAAAAAGGTGGCATCCCTTAAACTGGAAAAAATGGAGGAGTTGTGAAGACCTATCGATGGTGATGAAAATTAACACCTGTACGTTAGGTGTGCTGGTTGAAATGGTGAAAAACGTAGAATTGAATTGTGAGATTTTGATATTTAAATGAATATAAGTGGAGTCTTTCCATATTTTTTGGTCTTCAGTATAAATCTCATTATGAATAGTAGGGAAAGTCACAGTTAACTTCACAAATTTTGATTTAATAATACATATTGCTACAAGTTTCAATGAAATGGGCATCAACCAGTATAGGGTTAAAGTTCCTTGCATTCCCGAATAAAACCCTGTCAAAACTAAATTAATGATTACTGGCTGAATTCATGACAATTTTAATTTAGCAAAACAAGTTTTTCAACTAGCTAACTACCTAAATTAAATAATAATACTTGTTTGATTGAAGTGGTTAGAATGGTTCCTACTTAGCAACAGATGAAAGTTTTTTTCTTTTTTAATTGTGAAAATAAACGAATGGCTACCTGAAATGTGTGTGAATGTTTAGGAGTTTAGGACTGTCTACTTTTCGCGTCACTAAGGTACTTTATGCTCTGTGAGAGAACTTAATCTTCAAGATAATGATGCTGATAATTTTTTGATACATATGAGGATACGACATCAAGTTAATCAGTATTTTCAAATCTCTTTGATTTGTCAAATTTTCAAAAATCTCAAATGACTCTCGAAACTTTTCCACATATCTTATCTCAACTATCAGCAGAAGCACGGCATTATGAAAAAAAAAAACTAATTATGTTTTTATATTGATAAACCTTCTGATTTGTTATCTTCCGTCGCCAAATCCGGTGTAGTAACATTTTGCATTGATTAACCAGTAAAATAAAATCAGTAAAGCTTCGGCTCTTATGCATTATACGTTACATTCGAGTTATTTTTGTGGCTCGTTAGCTTTCAAACCATGGACAATTAAAAATTCAAGGTTTTAAAGCACCTATACCCAAATAAATTTAAAAAAAGTTTCGGATTTTGCGTCAAAGCTTAAGAAGATAATACTTATTTTTCTTTTTTTGAATGTAAATTAATTGCTTGAGTGTGTTTTAAGACTAAGAATATGTCACAAGAAGACAGGGATAATGAAGAGGTAAATGTTTTTCATGACTATTATGGATTTTTAAAGCAAACAAAAGTGAATTAGGATTTGTTAATTTAATTTCTACAAACCCCATGCCCACTCAAAGTTTAATTTACCTAATAGGTATAATCAAATTGATGTCCATTAAAGGGTGCAGATAAGATAATTAGGTACCTATTATACTATTTCCATATCTTTTAGGAATTTTTATTAGAAGAAACTGGACAGCTTCAACGATAATGTTTTGTCTAGTCATGGGAAAGTATGGAAATATTATGTAGGTTTAATAATAACGCATAACATTAATTAGTATAATATGAATTTTTCCATTTAAATGCTAGTAAATATATTTTCATTAGTTTACTATTTACTTGAAAAACTCATTATTTATTTATTATTTATCGATAATAATACCTACCTACATCATGATTCCAAATTGCCCATTTCCTTTTATACTCTGCTGCAGTATAAACCGAAAACAGAAAAACTGCACTGAAGGTAGAAAGTATTGAAGTTTTCTATAATGAAAGAAACTGTGTTTATTTCTATTGGACATATTTTAAATAAGGTACGCTTTTTTATTTATCTTAGAGAAAAATTAGAAATTAAGACTTTAGATAGGTAGGTATAGGTAGGTAACTATTAAAATTAATAGGCACCTACATCATTATGGTTCCAAAGTTTCATCAGAATATACCTACCTACAAAGTACAAATCCTCTTTTGGGTGAAGTAGAAAAAATACCTAAGTACTCAACTGGATCTCCATCTCAGGCAAAATGTTGAAGAAAATCCATCTTTTCTTTAATACGCGATTTTAGCAAATTTCCAAAGTAGAAAGAAGCATGAGGAGGGTTTTTGGATTCTTAATTATAGTACATTGAGTCCCATATCAATAATTCTCTGCCCCAAAAACTTAAAAATAATAATTCTGAAACTAAAAATGCTGTTTCTTTATCAGACAATAGTCCATGTCAATGACGACGCTTCATCTTCAAAGGACACCCAAACCAACGCAAACTTATACTCACTACCTTTACGAGTCAGGACTCTACGAGCAACCATCTACGTACTCTCCAAAGCCTTAAACCTAGCCTATGTTCCACTATTTATTTACAGAATCTTCGAGAGACGAAAACGATGTACACCTGTAACAGATCCTATATTGAAAATGCCTGCTGTGGAGCTAGCTAAAAAAATTAGACGAAAAGAGGTAAGAAATCATTATTTTTGTTGGCTCTTTATTTCAAGTACTATTTTAGATGTCATGCCTACATGTAGTTGAAGCCTACATATGCAGAATCAAAGAAGTCAATCCGTTACTAAACGCTGTCATTGAAGATAGATTTGCTGAAGCTTTAGAAGATGCTAAAAAAGTTGATGAACTAGTTTCAAGAAAGGACTTCCTAGAAAATGAAGAAGCAGTTGCAAAAGAATACCCACTTTTAGGTGTCCCAATAACAATTAAAGGTAGTTTAGCCGTTAAAGGCATGAAATACACTAGCGGAACACGTACAAGGAAAGACGTTAGAGCTGAAATTGATGCAGATGCTGTTGCTTTAGCAAGAGCAGCAGGTGATTTTTTTACAAAACTTTGTACAAAATAAATATTTAATTTAAATTTTTTTTTAGGGGCTATTCCATTATTAGTCTCTAACGTTCCAGAGCTTTGCATGAGTTGGGAAACATCCAATAAACTTATAGGAACTACCAAAAACCCCCATGACACTAGGAGAACTTGTGGAGGCTCATCGGGAGGCGAAGTAAGCACTAGAAATCTCTATTTTATTTTAAAAAATAATATTTTTTTTTTACTTAGGCGAGTCTCCTTGGAGCAGGAGCTTCAGTGCTAGGAATAGGATCGGATGTGGCAGGATCCCTAAGACTACCAGCTCATTATTGTGGGGTTTGGGGTCACAAACCTACCCCTCGTGCAGTATCTTTTGAAGGCCACTACCCTGATAGTCGATCGAGGGATGTTTGGGAGGAAATTTTTACAGTGGGACCCATGGCTAGATATGCTACTGACCTACCCACCTTATTGCAGGTGATTGCTAAGCCGGAAAAAAGGGAAATGTTGAATTTAAATGAAAAGGTAGGTACAGAATTTGTTGGTTAATTCAAATTGTTTCATGTTGTTTGTTTTTTTAGATTAATATTAAAGATATTAAAATTTACTATTCAGAATTTGAGGATTTTTACTGGCAGAAGCCGAATAGTCATTGCAGAGAGGCAGTTACGAAAGTTGTCGATCATTTTTCAAAAATATGTAATACTAAGCCTCAGAAAGTAAGTAAAAAACATTTTGCATTAATCATCAATATAACTTGTATATTCCAGATTGATTTCTTTTTGAAACAAAACCTCCCAGACATGATCGCCTGTGATATATTGACAACTAAAGATATTGACGATGAGTTTGATGGTAATGCTAATGGTGCCTTCAAAGAACTATTTAAGTATGTTAAACAATAAAATTTAATACAGTCACTACAACAACAAAAAATTATTTTTAAGGTACGCGGCTTTCCAATCTGACCACACCTTCATGCTAATAATGTGTGGCATATTACGAAGACTAGCTACAACTTTTTCAGGAAAACGAAAACCGCATATTGATGAAATTATTGGTAAAGTTAAGAAGCTTTACGAGGGTATTTTAAAAGATAATGGGGTAGGTTGAAACATATAGAAAATGCTTGAATTATTTGCATTGATTATTTAGGTGATTATAGTACCAACATTCCCAGTTGAAGCCCCCAGACACGGAGATGTGCTACGGGTAGCCCTTTCTTCTGGATGTTTGAGTTTGTTTAACGGATTGGGATACCCAGTAACTAATTGTCCTGCTGGAGCTACCAAAAGTGGAATACCAATTGGAATACAGGTAGAATAAATCCTTATTTTTTTGAAAATTATTTCTCACTGGCCCATTGTTACTCGTTTTATATTATAAATAATAGCTCTGTTTCAACAGACATGAGATTTCCAGTCGATCAAATCATTTGTCAATTGGGATAAACGTTCAACATATTGAAAAATAGGTGAGCACCTAGAAATAACTGGTTCTGGAACGGTTCTCATGTCTATTGAAATAGAACAATTAACGTTATATATGCTGAGGCTGAAGTTTTTATAATATTTTTTTTTAAATGAAATTTTCTCCTTCTGATTCCAGGTGGCATCGTTGCCATATGGTGATAAGTTGACCTTAGCCGTCGCCCAAGAAATTGAAAGGAGTTTTGGTGGATGGATTGAACCCTGATCAAACAAATAATATCAGTAACTGTTAAGGCATTGGATATTTATTGTGATGTGCACATTTTTCGTTTTATAATGTTTTATAATAAAAGTAAGATGGTGTTTTGAAAATTGAATAAAAACTATATTTTGAATTCCGTACAATTTTTGAAACATACCCTCGAATTCTGTTCTTTTTTTTTTGAAACTCTTGAATAAACAAATTATTTCACAACGGTATAATTAGCAACAAGAGTGATATGAAAATATACACAAATGAATACCATTAATGACAAATTTCAAGTCATTTAAGTAGGCACTTCTGTAGATTTCTATTCCACACAGTACCTACCGCAGAAGTTCCTACTTCCAACAACAATTTATACAAAAAAGATGTCTCACAAAAGAATAGGGAAATTCACTAGAAGTCGTACTTAACTAAAGAAACAGAAGTAGACATTAAACAACATCAATAATAGAATAAACAAACAACTTTGAGGAGCAGTAAAGAAAATAGCAACGAAGAAGTGTCCTGAACGATGGGGTACGAAATACAAGCGAATATGAAGAAATAGATAAAATAATACCAACAATTCTCGAAGAAGAAATATACAGGGTGTAAAAAAAATAGTGTACCGGACTTCGAGAGGTGATACTACATATGGAAATAAGAAAAAAAGTTCCTATGAAAATATGCCCTAAGATGCTGTTTTCTTTTGTGAGTAACTTCTACCCCAATATAGAAACTACCCTTTCAGAACTGTTATGACTTTTTTTACTATCACTATCATTCGCTTTGGCATCGAAATGTATGCGAGAATACCAAATTTCAAGGAAAGTAGTTTGCCACTGTTCTTGAAAATAAATAAAATCTATTATTTTCATCTACTGTTTGAAGAGCTGTAACTTCTTCAGGGAGCATCTTGGGGCATATGTTCATAGAAACTTTTTTTCTTAATTTCATATGTATAGTATTTTTAATACCCATTTAGAATAGCCCCATCCTTATTTATCAATTACGAATCAGATGAAATTAAAAATTATTAGCAAAAACGAATGTCGATTGCTAATACTTCAAATTCATATACAAATTAGGCAATTCAAACCACGTGACATTCAAGATGGCGTGGCGGCCACACATGGGCCAGAAAACACAAAAAAATATCTAGTTTCTGCCCGAATTAATAGTTTAGGTACCTAGTCAACAAATATTTTATTAAATAATGAAAATTAAAGTTGTAAGTAAAACTGTATGCAAAATAATTTAAAATGCGCATAAAAACATATTCAAAACAAACTTGCTTGGCCGCTACGCCACATTGAATTTTCCTTTTTGACAGATGGATTGAATTGCCTAATAGGAAATTCCTAACCTTATTTTATTAGTGTGTTCAAGAAGCGACATACGTTTAGTTACTAGAACGACTGGTACTTCTAAATAAGTATTGAAAATTCTATAGTATCACCCCTCGTATGTATAAGGGAAAACATCGAAGCAATGATAGAAAGAGTCTTAAGAGAGGATGACTATATTTATATTACTAAGTGGATTGGATTAATAATGGGGATTAATAATCCTGAATTAAACACCCAGGATAAAGGAGTTTATTCGGATCGGAGTACTTAATCCATTCCTCCAAATTTGTAGGATTGGACTTAAAATGGATTATAATAATATAATAATAAAGACATTTATTTGCACTTTAAACTTACAAAATTACAAAAACAATTTAAACTAAACTATTTCTAGTCCATATTTGTGCAAACAAATAGGTACTATAGTATGCCACAAAGACAAAACGTCGCGCGTGGCCCAGTATAGCACTTATCAGTACCTATGGCTTTATAATCCAATTTATCTCAAATGTGAAATAAGGTTTGTTCCTGCAGAAATCACAAACCAGTCAGTGCGAATTTCATTCGTTGGAAACAGTCAGAAAACTGGTTTCAATCGATGAAATTCACTCTGACTGGTTTGGGATCTCTGCAGAAACACACCTAAACACCTTAATCTCGGATTTTCGAAGTTTGTTGCTTACTTCAAGAAAAAATCACATTTGTCACTTGTAATTTTTTTTGAGGATTGATGTTATTTGGATATTTTTTGATGAAAAACCGGCGAGAGAAAAGAAAATGTTTACCTTTTAATTGTTAATGAAAACTATTTTTCATCATTGTTGCCTTTGTTGCAGTTAGTCACAAACGACAAGGCTTAAGAGAGGATTAACACTAATGTTAATCCATTCAATAGTTGTGAAATAAACGAATATGGATCAATAATCCTTAATCCACTTAATATCCGGATGCAACACGTGAAATAAACGTAGTCAATGAAGGCCTAAAATCCTAAGACGTAACAAAACAAAGTGCATTGAAAATAAAAATGGAACAGAAGAAATGGATAAGCGAGAATTGGAATATATCGGTTATGAGTACTACCAGAAGTTGAAGAATTTGAGATCCAGAAGACAATTAATTAACAATCTAAAAAACCAGAAATCAACAGAAGATGGAATAACAGCCGAAATGCTGAAAGGAGGAGACGTTCCTATTAACAGAGAAGAGAAAATTTAACCTGTATCTAACCAGTCTTCAAAAAACGTGATATGTACTTCGGAATGCCGTTTCATCTCGTTATCCCAATTATAGGTACGACGAGCTACTCATGAAAATAAGGATCAGCCACTTATCACGTCAAATGGACAGCTACCCACTGTAACGATCCAGAAAAATGGAGCATTAAATTATAGGGACTCATAATTGAAATAATAAATAATTGAAGAACTGCCAGTCTCATGACATAGTGACTGAACCTGAAAATAACCCATAAATTAGGCAACGGAAAAATCTTGAAAGCAAGGCTAAAGTAATTAAATTGAGGGGGCCAAGTGAAAAATTTGAAAAAGCAAAGAAGTCATGAAAGAAAGAAAATGATTGGTTCTACATTATGTGCATGCTCTAAGTAATCAAAAGATTTATCGTATCAGAATAATTTAGTGAAAGTAAGGAAAAATTGTAAGTACAGGAATAATTTTAGTATATAACCACTTATTGCAATGACTATGATGTAAAGTAAATTCTCTATGGAACATTATTGAATGTTTAATTGACTTTTGAGTGAAATTTCTTTTGAATATTTGTGCTACCTAGAGTATAATTGGGAAAATATAATGCACATGACTTGCCAATTATTGAAATGAATTTTCTGAATAGTTGTGAATTGAAATCGACTGTTGAATATTTTGGAGTCTGTCTAATGAAAATAAGATTTGAAGTGTAATGCATAATGATAATAAAATAATATTGTTCTGTCTAGATTGATATTAGGCTGGAGAAGAAGAAGTTAGGTAATCTTATTTTAGAACATTATATATAAATTGTATCAATCAAGGTTTGACTGTGTATTATCTAATATAAATTCAAACATCTATAATGATTTTTTCATTGAAACCTTTTTAAAGATCTTTAGATATCCTCTTTGGACAAGCATAAATACGTCACAGTTTTTAAACAAAAAACCCCAGATCTCTACTTTAATTGCCGGTTTGATATTAGACAGACGTTCTTGCGACTAAAACTCGTTTAAGGCCTTCTCCCGTAGGAAAAAAAAACTCCGGTTTATCTTTTTGTCTTTCATCCCGCGAGTTTGCGAGTGCGGATTCGGTTTAATTGGAAAGTTGTGCCTCGAAAATAATGGAATTTAACGCTGCGAAAATGGAATGCAAATTTTGTCTGCCGTATGAATTATAATTATCGTGAAGATATTATCAAATATTTGACGGTCTTTTGATTGAATAGGGTTCGAGTTTCTTTATTGAAACCAGAGAATGCATTAGATTCGATATTTTTGAATGCTTATACCTAGTTTTTGTCACTCAAGACAATTGTTATAAAAAGAATAAAATTTATTTAAGATAATGAATAATATCCCAATGCCAAATCTATAAGTGAAAACGGACATTTAAATGTTTCTGAACATTTATCAAGAATATTTTGACTATAATCAATAACGTTATCTTGACTTCGTCCAAATTGAGAGGCATAGTGGTAAGTATGGTGAATTTCTGGTTCATTCTTCAATAGAGTTTCTTGAGGAAACCTTAAGGAAGAAATTGAATGAATTATGTTTTCTTATAAATATGAATACTCACCTGAATATTAAACTTAAAATGTTATGCCCTAAACTATCTTCTACCTCTAAAAACCTGTGTTCAGCTTCACATAAACTCCTTAGGACACAAGATCTTCCATCATAACCCATCCTATTATATCGTATAAATTTAAACATCCAATTCAAAAGGAGAAAATCAACTTACGATGTCAATACTTTCTCTACTTTTCCATACAATTCTCTCCTATTTCTCCTCTTCTGAGCAGGTTTATAGGCGTCCAGTAAGGGCGCTGTATCATTGGGTAAATCCCAAGATAGACCCCAATTTATATTCAAAGAAAATAGATCTATGCCTGGCGTAAGACCCATGAGACTTGTCAGACAAAACACAGACTAAAAAAGTTCAGTTGGATTAAAATATCATATTTACGTACCTACCTAATTATAGTTGTGGTGACCTGGAATATACCTACAGAGGAGGATAATACTGAAAACTATGGATTTACAGAGTGGAATGGAATCAGCTAGTAGAATTATGAATAATTGAATTCCACCACGTCGTCTATATGCGTAGATTAATATTGGGGTGTTGTTAAACTGCGACCTAAAGATCTATTGTGCCCTCCGTATATATTAATACGCATAATATGCGTAAAAATTATAATTGTGCCCTCCGTATATAATAATACGCATAATATGCGTAAAAATTATAATAAGATGGACGGAGTAGCAAAAACATATGTAATTAAATGGGTTTTATGAAAATTACAATTGTGTAAGGAAATAGAAGAGCTACAAAGGAATTGTGATTATTCAGATTGCCACAGAAAACTTGAAAATAATGCTGGATCCAGTATACTTTCATCCAGCTTAAAGTAGAAAGAATAGTAGATGGATTAGTGGATGAAGAAATAACTATATTTTCTTACCGTGAATAAAGAGCCGTCTGGAAAGGCCAAATACCTCTTGATTCTTGAGAATTTATTCTCCTTATGATCACATTCATTATTTTTAAAGAATAATGTAAAAACTATCACACACAAACAAAAGTTTAATTTCATTTCGTTATGCTTAAAAGCCAAAAATACGATGTGAACGTTAAAATGTAAAAAACGGCATCACAGATGTTAGCAATAGCCCGCTTTCCTGCTAATAAAAGTAATAAGTTAAGCAGTGTTAAAAGGTTTTAACGGTTAAATGAAATTTTATGAGAAAATAGTTAGGATTTTTATAATTCATTTATTTAGTATCTAAATGTTATGTTCCAGTATACGAGTAAGAATAATATCCTAAAGCTAAGTCTATAAGAGAAAATGGACATTTAAACGTTTCAGAACATTTGTCGATTATATCGTTTCTAGTTTCTGCATCATTTCTTCCTGTTTGAGACGCATAGTGATAGATATGATGAATGTCTGGCTCGTTGTTCAAAATTGGCTCCTGAGGAAAACTAAAAATAATTGTATAAAGATCAAACTATTTTAACTAGAGCAACGACTCCGCATTGAATATTTGTCTAGTAGGGGCTTGAAAGTCTGTACATATTGGCATTTGATTGCGGTCACATTTACCACGATTTAATTAGGTTAAGTATCTACAAAACTGTAGGAGTATTCAAAAATTGTACCTACATAGGAAGTATGATCATTCAAAAACTGAACATAGGATTGAATTCATACTAACATGGAAAGGTTGAGGGAGTAGTCAGAAACAGGAAAATACCAGTGGCGTACACTCGATCGACCTACGAATGGAGAACTATACGAAAATATACAAAACTGTACGATGATGGTCGAGCCGTCTCCAACATATTTGGTTCTAAAAATTTTAAAAATACTATCAGAGAAACCAAGTACCTCAAATTTTACCTGCAGCTTTCACCTGTACAGGTAGAATGGTTAACAAAATCAGTAGTATAGGATAGTATTTTCAGAATTTTTGGAGCCAAATATATGAGAGATTGCTCAATCAAATATAGATCGGGGCATTGTGCTCTTCAAGAATATAGAAAGAAATATAGGGCATTCCATTTGAAAAAAGCTGGAAGCATGCAAAATTTCACATTTTTGACATTCAAATTTTGTTTCTGACCATGGTTTCTAAAAATCCAGCCAAAACTGTACAACTTTTGTATTTACACCTTTCTTCTATCTGTGAAGGTAAAAGCTGTAGGTGGGGTGTCAATATATAAAAAAACACCCTATACAAATAAGAGGATTATTGCGGAACTTATGGGCGGACCTCTGAGTCATCTACTCACCAATATACTGTTGAACTGTTCAAATAAGACACTCACCTGAAACGTGTAGTTTTTGAACCAATGAGAAAAATTCTCAACTGAGTCAATCAGGTTAGTATTGTACTTGAACAACATATTGGTGAATAGATGGCTGGGTCCACCCATAAGTTTCGCAACCATCCACTCGTTTGTACTTGAATAACTTGTCACAATATATTACTAGTTGGGTAAAGTAACATTACTAATTCCTGTTAAAAGGCCAATTGACAAAAAGTGGATAATCTTACAAATTCTGACTTTATATAATAAGTTATTGTTCAAGTACAAATAAGTGGATTGTTGCGGAACTTATGGGTGGACCTCTGCGGGACGAGCGCAGCGAGTTCCGCAGCCATTTAATCACCAATATACTGTTGAACTGTTCAAGTAAGACATTCACCTGAAACGTGTAATTTTTAAACTAATGAAAATAACGCACATTTGAGTGAGTCAGTTTAGTATCGTATTTGAACAACGTATTAATGAATAGATGACTGCGGAACTCGCTGCGCTCGTCCCGCAGAGGTCCACCCATAAATTCCGCAACAATCCACTCGTTTGTACTTGAATAACTTTATTATGTTAGTAGTTTGGTAAAGTAACATTACTAATTCATGATGAAAGGCAAATTGACAAAAAGTGGATAATCTTACAAAGTCTGACTTTATATAATAAGTTATTGTTCAAGTACAGGGTGTGTCACCTACAGCCTTTACCTTGACAAGTAGATGAAAGGTCTAAATACAAAAGTTGTACAGTATTGGCTAAAATTTTAGAATCCATGGTCAGAAACAAAAACCGAATGTCAGAAATGTGAAATGTTGCATGCTTTCAGCTTTTTTCAAATGGGATGCCCTATATTTGGTTCTATATTCTTGAAGAGCATAATTTCCCGATTTCAAATATATAGTTTGCCTATATTTGGTTGAGCCGTCTCCAAAATATTTGCTTCTAAAAATTTTGAAAATGCTATCAGAGAAATCAAGTACATATAGTTTTTCCAAAGTCAATTGGAACAAGGTGAACATAAATCATAACTGGTGGCTGACTAGTGGCAGTGCATTTCTTATGGAAATTTTCAGTGACCAGTCATCTACCAGTTGGTACCCTGTTCCAATTGAGTTTGGAAATACTATACCTACCTTAAATTTTACCTGCAGCTTTCACCTGTATAGGTAGAATGGTTCACAAAATCATCAGTAGTAGGATAGTATTTTTACAGTTTTTGGAGCTGAATATACGAGAGACTGTTCAATCAAATATAGACAAATTATGTATTTTTGGAATCGGGGCATTGTGCTCTTCAAGAATATAGAATGAAATATAGGGCATCCTATTTGAAAAAAAGCTGGGAGCATGCAATATTTCACATTTCAAATTTTGTTTCTGACCATGGTTTCTAAAAATTCAGCCAAAACTGTACGACTTTTGTATTTACACCTTTCTTTTACCTGTAAAGGTAAAAGCTGTAGGTGGGGTGTCAATATATAAAAAAACAATATAGGTTCCTACCTATTTAAAATCACCTTATTCTCCTAAATAGTTCCCCTATTCCCATATTTTTATAGGCCATTCCTTCGAAAAACCGTATCTTGCACATTGCGCTGCCAAAACTAACCCAAACTTACCCAATCTGGCTTACTTTAACTTAAACTGCCCCCCCCCCCCCTTTCAAGAAAGGCCTGTATCCGCCCCTGCAGAAAAATACCAGTGGCGTACACTTGATCGACCCACAACCATACGAAAATATACAAAACTGTATGATTATTCAGAAAATGTACATAGGATTGAATTCATACTAACATGGAAAGGTTGAGGGGGTAGTCATACTTAATATTGCCCATAACATTTTAAAAGTAAGTGGAGCTCGAGAATTCGTTTTCTAGGCTTGATTTTCGGAGACCAGACAGAATTCGTCCATTCCAACGTACCTACTTTTTAATTACGAAATAGCTTCATTGTATCACTAGTGAAAAAATATCCATTCCATCACTTGTTATGGAAAGAATATCCGTTTCATTGTATCTCTATGGTATTGTAATGGCTTACGGAAAACTTGTAAGTTTTTAAAATACGCATCTATACAGCCTTACGAAACCCCTTGAAATAAACTACATATTTTAAAAACACTCACTGAAATATAAGATTTAAAATTTTATGTGTCAAACTATCTTCCTTGTGAATAAGTTTGTGTTCAGCTTCACATAAACTTCTGAGAACGCACGATCGTCCATCATAACCCATGCTGAAAATATAAAATGCTTGGTAACAACAAGCTTATGCGAAAATACTTCGAATAGTTCCTACACAGTCAATATTTTCTCTACCCTTCCATACAAATCTCGTCTGTTCCTTCTCTTTGCAGCTGGCTTGTAAATATCTAATAAGGGCCTCGTGTCGTTGGGTAATTCGTAAACTAGACCCCAATTTATATTCATTGACATTATATCCGATCCTGGTGTGATTCCCATGAGATTAGTCAAACATAATACGGCCTAAACATAGTAATTTTATTAAAGTTTGGTGAAACACCCATACTTACCGAATAAGAGGAACCTTCAGGAAAAGCCAAATACCTACGAACTCTTGCGAGTTTCTTTATACTTTTATCACAAAGAATATTTTCCAAAAACAATAATAAAATAAGAAAACTTTTAATGTTCATTTTGGTGAAATGTCAATCATAATCTCTTGGAAAAATTTAAAGTAAGTCAAAAATTCTAATAAATTAACACCAGCCTCATTTTTCATAGGTGTTAATGGTAACGGGGCATAACGGTGAATTGAAATCATAGCTAAAGGTAAATATAAATATATAGGGTACTTGATAAAAACTCATGTTTTGATTTTAAAATAAGTTTAATAATCTCTATCTCCCAAATCCAGAATATTTTCCCAAAGCCATATCGATAAGTGAGAACGGACACTGAAATATATCTGAACATGCTGAATCCTTATGTTCATTATCATCTTCTCCAATTTGTGAGGCCCAATGGTACATTCTGTGATCATCTGGTTCGTGAGATTGAATTGGTTCTTGGGGAAAACTGGAAAATAATTTAAAATATAAATATATAAGAAAAACGTAAATTTCCTCATTTGTTGATGTTTGTGAAAAAAGCCATTTTTATGGTGGAGCTTAAAACTAGAATGCCGCCATATAAATAGAATTTTATGTACGCGTCCGGAAAGATAATGCTTCGGTTTTTATTGATAGAGACTGTTTCTGGCATAAAGTTTTAGACTAAACGTCCCTTTATTTTAGTGGTATTAAAATGTTATGTGCGGAGGTTTATGATGTATTATCTATGCTGTTAGAATATAAATTGATGGGTGAAATTTATTAGAGTTGAATTTCCTTGGACTGTAGCCGGATGTATTCCATGACATTTCAAAATTGTCTTTTATATAAAATCACTACAAGTTACAAGTGAAAGAAAACTTTTACAGGACATCACTATTCGTCTGCGTTGTTATTGATTCATGATGATCTGTGTAACTTCAAAGATGTACCTACTGCTATAACATCTTCTACTATTTTCTGGTTTGTTCTCCTATTTGTTTCATTATCATTCGAGTCATGTTCTAATAATCAGGAACTTTTAATCGTACAAATAGTTGTAGGAAAGTTCTCTCCTAGTGCCACAATAATTTCATTCGGGCTTGTTAAGTAGTGAAAGTAGGTACTCGACTCTGGAATTCGATAACAAAACTTCAATCTCGATGCGGTATCCATCAATAATTTATATGTTGTGGAAAACTTAGAATCTGTTGCTTTCGAAGAATGAAAAACTTAAGACCCGGTCTACAGGAAACCTAGTTTCATACATGAATGAATCATGTGAAGAAGCTTTTCCTTTTCATGGTAAATTGAGTAGGATAAGAGGAAGTCTTGCATAGAAGTACCTACTCTCTATAGCGCCACAAATACCAGGAGACTAAAAATCTACTCCATAGCTCACCCAGAAGCCAGGAGAAGCATTCTAAAGCGACTCTGAAGCTCTTCAGGACCACGGAGAGTCCAAATCCATTCCACATCAGAGCCACTGAACCCAAGAAAGTTCGAGCTCACCCACATCAGAGCCACAGAAGCCAAGAAAGTTCAAACTCACTCCACATTGCTCCAGAAGCTAAGATAGTTATTCTACAGCGACACCTACAGCATCCCAGAAGCCAGGAGAATCCATCATCCATTTCACAGCGACTCAAATGAAAGTCCAAATCGGAAAACGCAAATAATGCAAGTACGCCTCGCCACTGCCTTCGAACCCATAGCGAACACCTTTTTTTTAAAAAATTTTAAAGAAAATTCAGAAAAATGGAAGAGGAAGCCCCTCAAACCCATGCCAACTGAGAAGACAGAAGGAAATTTCGTCAGAAATCTTCACAAAGCATCGCCGTCGTTCTCAGACCCACCACGAGCGAAGAGGACGCCCCTCAAATTAAAGTGCTTCAAATGAAAGTTAAAAAAAGTGACAAAATGGATCAAGAACCACTGAAAAGTGAGCCTAAAACTATTTCCTATCTTAAATCCCAAACACTATCTCTAAAATTTCACGTTCTGACAAAGAGCCAGCTTATAAAGAAGCTATTAAAGCCTTTAGACAATAAAACGAATCACTCAAAGAACAAATTGACACCCTTTCTGACCTCAATAAAAACCTTTTAGAGGAAAATAAAAAGACAAATGCCACAATTCAACAATTATTGAAGAAAATCAATGAATTAATTAGCCTACAATCTCCACTAAGCTCTCAAGTCCCCTCAACTGCTAACCACAATAACAATAACAATGAATCACCACAAAAGGTGAATAATTTTTCACAACAATCCGGAAAGAAACCAAAAAAAGACATATCAAAACAATCAACTCAAGATGAAGACATGGAAGTCACAGACTTTCCTGCTCTAGAAAGTTCAAATAGAAATCGATTAGAAACAGCCCAACCAGAACTAAGTATCAGACCAAACCATACCAAAACCAAAAACCAACTACTGCAAAATTATCTAGAACAAAAAGACAACGAAGAATACGAAACAACCACCAATAAAGTTACTAGAAATGCCAGAAAAATCCCACCAATAACCATTCGTAATGCGGGAAAATGGGTTTAAATTCACGACAATCTTATTAAGGAATCATTCAAGTTCAAAGACCCAAAAGTAAACAGGAACGGAATCCAAATTATACCAGAAACATCACAAGACCATAGGGACATAACTAGATGCCTAAAAACAAATAACATAGAATATCACACTTAGGTACGTATTAGACGAGGAAAGACTGTTGACCGTCATGATGAAAGGACTTCACACCGGCATAAAAATAGAAGATATAAAAGAAGACCTTCAATTCCAAGGATTTGAACCAGTAGAATGTTACTGGTTCACGTTAGGACCATTGAAGAGACCAAGTGGTAAGGTAAAAATTCTAATCCCCCAAGATCAATCTCACATTTACGACAGTATCACACACATCTGCTACATTCCAGTAAGACTCGAATCTCAGAAGACAAACCCAGAAAGGAAACATATCATCCAATGCACAAACTGCCAAGTTTTTGGCCACGCTTCCACCAACTGTGTAGGAAAATCGAAATGCCATAAATGCGCTGGCAATCATCATTATTCAAACTGTCACATATAAAAAACCAATAATAATGACAATCAAAAAACAACTTTGAAATGTATAAACTGTGGAGGCTCACACCCCGCCAATCACTCTAATTGCCCAAAAAATCCTAACTATATCAATTATGTGAATAAAACAAAGAATCAACAAAATCTTAACCTCAAGACTCCCGGCATCTCCTAGGCTCAGACAGCCAAAAGCACCATTAAACAACCAACTATCAGCCCACCACAAGCAAATTCAAACCTTTTATCTTTACTAACTCAATTTTATAGCAGCACAAATTGCAAATAACACGTTACTAAAATCACTCTGCTAATAGATATACAACTTCAGCCATCAAACATTACAGTTGCTTCCTGGAATGCAAATTCCGTCTTCCCAAAGAAAATTGAACTCATTAACTTCCTCCAAGACATAGATGTTATCCTATTACAGAAAACATGCCTTCGTCCACATACAAATTTCAATTTTCCAAATTACAACATACATAGAGCTGACAGGCCAAACAGACCAGGAGGAGGCACCACCATTGCTATAAAAAATAACATAAGCCATGACACCATGGCCCCAGCAAACACAGAAGAAATTGAAAATATAGGCATAATCATAAATTTGGCAAATAACAATAAACTGAGATTAGTTTCAGTAAAATGCTAAGAGTAAACATATCAAGAGAACTATTCAACTTAAACATCCCAACACTAATTGCAGGCGATCTAAACGCAAAAAAAAGGAACTGGGGTTGCAGACGCTCCAACGCCAGCGGCTCAACCTTACTCAAATATGCACTAGGACATTTAATAACATTACACGCACCAGAAGGACCAAAACATTTTTGCAAAGGTACCGCAGATATTCTAGATATCGCCCTAACAAAAAATATAGACAGGAACATAACAGTACAGAATGTAGACGACCAGGGCCGGTCCAATAGCTATTATATGCCGAGGCAAAGTTCAATTCTGGCGCCCCTTCTTCTCGAATTGTATTGTCAAAATGATTAAAGATCAATATGATAAAAAATGAGTTTTAGGCTATCGTTTAGAAAGTAGGAAAATAAGATAAAAAAAGTAACTTCATTTTTTCAAATAAGTATATCATATTGTAATGACTACAGAAATTTTAATCAAGAATAACAAGGACTTACCAAACAACCATTCCAGGAGAGATCATCACTTAGACAGCACAACCAGAAACTTTCATTAAAATTTATCTGAACATCGATATCCAGAAATTATTGAAAGCTGATACCCTATATTGACTAATACATTGGAAGCAAAAGTTTATGGACCTTTTTTTTTAAGTGCTTTCAACAATTAACATTCCAAAGGAGCCGAAAAATTTCTGAAAGAATCAATAAATCATGCACGAGCCTATATGATGATACCCACTTAACAAACACTTAGCGACGCCCTTGATAACTAATTGAAAGGAGACCAAATACACTAATTGATCGGATGATTAAACCACGAGAAAAAATAAAGAAATTCAAGACAATAGAGGAACCAATGATATAAAAAGGCAACTTTGGAAGGAGAAAATCAGTGTTCGAGAAAGAGCGAGTAAACGGGCAGAACTACGGCGTGAAAGACCAGTGTCGGTTGGGTAATTCAAGAAACAAGTAGTAATCGAGAATCGAGAGACCTTTGTCCAGAAAGTCAGAACTACGGCGTGAAAGAGTTGTCGAATTAACCGAGAGAAGAAGCACGACGTGGAATAACAGCGCGAAAATATTCGAGTTTTTTAATAATTGTCCATAATTTAAGTAAATTCTGTCGATCAATAAGATATCCATGTAATTAGGTGTGGCCAGCAGTAAATATATTATTGTTAAATGTAAGTAGAGTTTTTTTATGTTCAGCCAGAAATTGTGAAGGCAAGACTGTGATTCGAGTCAAACTGTAAATTAAAATTCTCCTTACCAGTTAATAATTGATGCTTATTAGAGATTGAATAATTTTATTGTAAGATTATTCATTAACGACGCCTGTTATTTAATAGCAAGCATTATTTATTTTAATAAAATAAAATTTATTTTAATTGACCACAATATTTCTGTGTTTTACTCTCCACCCGCTAATAGGACCCACTTTAAACTGTGTCTCCAGTCAGAAACTAAAGTCACCGCTCGCCAATTTAACATCTTGCCAAGTTTCTGAATTTGGCGTCTCACAATATATCTACTTATTACATGAGGTCTATTCTCACAGAAATCACAAGCCAGTCGGAGTGTTTTTGATTGGTGCAAATCACCAGAAACCAGTTTTCTGATAGTTTACAACCAATGAAATTCGCTCTGATAGGTAGGTACATGTGTGATATCTGTGAGAACATCAGGTCCCCAATTCTTGAATTATTTCGCATACAATAATTGATCTGTATGACAGTAACTAATTTCTCGGAACTAACACTAAAAATGAACCCGTCTGGCTTTACGTCTTGCGTCTTGCAAAGTCGGAGATGAGTTCGTTGATAGGTTATTGTTCTCACAGAAATCACAAACCAGTTAGATGGAATTTCATTGGTTGAGAATAGTCATAAAACTGGTTGTTGCCTGTTGGAGATTTGCACCAATCAAAAACGCTCTGGCTGGTCTGTGATTTCATTTCTGTGATAAGACCTATGATCTACATCATCGAAAATTATAACCATCAAGTGTATTCAATGGTCGAAGGTTATAACATTTCCAATTCTTAGAGCGAAAGTGCATTCAGTTTTGAGACAAGAAGATCGAAAGTTCCTTGATGAGCGGTGACAAGTGACAGTGGTGATACGTAAATTAACTATTACCGGACAATGTTGTTGGATTTTTAACCTTGGTTTCCACCAACTATTTTAGGGGAGCCTTAACGATAACTATTCCTGAAACTGACCATTCTCCATGTAAGTATGTCATTTTAAGCAATACTTATCGTTAGGGCTCTCCTAAAATAGTTGGTGGTAACAGGCATTATCTTCCTATTATCCTTATGGGATGAATTTTTTTTTTTTTTATTAATTTGTTCACTCGAAATAAATTAGTTTGCAATTTGGCACCCTGTGCCTAAATCCGGCCCTGTATACGACCTCAGCTCGGATCATAATCCTATCCTCATCAAAATCGAAGAAACATACTCCACTGGCAATGGAAAAGTTATGAACATTATAAACTGGACTAAATACAAAGACCTGAAACAAATCACGTTCTGACCTCACCAACAATGAACTAGATTTACGCATTGAAAACTACACAGCATATCACGCAAATAGCCATGGCCAACAAACTTGAGATAAATAAAGGAAATAATAACCCATATGCTCTTCCCTACAATATCAGGACACTAATTAAAGAAAGAAACCGACTAAGAAGAAGATTCAAGACATATAGTGACCCAGTTATCAAAATACAAGCCTCAGAAATGACTAAACAGATTAAATTTCTAATAAATGAGCATAGAAATGTCCAATGGGAATCACTGCGTAGTAACTTGGTACCAGAGGACAACTCACTTTGGAAAATCAAAAACATAATAGCTTACAAAAGATACGTTAATTTCCCGCCAATTCGAGGATTCAGAGGATTGTGTACACAAAGCAAGAAAAATCAGAAAGCTTCGCCAACTCACTAGCCACTCAATTCTCCAACCAAGAAGAACCACTTGATAAGGAAATTGATATAAGAGCACAACAAATTAAATCCCTTATCATCAACGAACACCCTATTCCGCCAACCTTCGTAGAAGAGATTTCAACATACATCAAAAATACAAACAAGGAAAAAGCTCCAGGTCCAGACACAGTTACCAATCAAATGCTGAAAGCCCTACCGGAAAATTTCATAATAAAATTAAAACAAATAATAAATCAATCTTTCTTGCTAAAATACCACCCAACAGCTTGGAAGAAAGCCAATATAGCACTAATCCTTAAACCTATTAAAGACCATTCGCTCTCACAAAATTAGAGACCAATCAGTTTAATATCGTCTATAGCCAAAATCTCAACAAAAAAAAAATCTAGACTAAATGACTTTGTCAGGGAAAATAATCTCTTATCTGATAAACAATACGGATTTAGACCAAATCACTCTACAGAACTACAAATCGCAAGAGCATAGAAGACATGGTTCAAGGTCTAAAAAGAGGAGCTCAAACAGCAGCAATAGCAATGGACATACAAAAAGCATTCGGCAAAGTCAGGCATAATGGCCTAATTGTAAAACTCCATAATAAATTAAATATCCCCACAAACTATGTGCAATTCATACAAATTTTTTTATCAAACAGATCCTTCATGGTCAGACTAAACGACTCAAAATCAAGATCAAGAGACATTGCTGCGGGAGTCCCGCAAGGTTCTCCAATAGCTCCTATTTTATACAATCTTTTCACTGCGGACACACCTAAAACGATTAACTCCAGAATAGCACAATATGCTGATAACACCTTAATCTACACAACATTCAAAAATCCAATAGCCATACACATAAGTCTTCAAAGAGCAGCTAACAATTTTTCTGTTTGGGCAAACAAATGGAGGATTAAAATTAGTGAGGAAAAAACCCAAGCAATAATTATCACCAGGCATTAGAAGACAAAACCAAGTTCCAAGAATAAAAATCAATGATAACACAATTCAATGGAAAGAAAGTATTAAGTATCTAGGCATCACTATAGACAAAAAACTCAATTTTAAGGAACACCGGCAAAACAAAGTTTTAGAAGGAAACAATGCATACGGATCCCTTTATTCAATGCTGGGCCCTAAAAGTCAATTAACAAGAAAAAATAAACTACTCTTATATAAGCAGGTCATTCGACCCAACATATTATACGGTTCCTGTGGGCATTCACCAACGCTCCCAAATCCTACATTAAAATTCTGCAAACACTTCAAAATAAAATTCTAAGAATAATAATAAGAGCATCGTGGTTCGTTAGAAATGATGCTATACATAATGATCTCGGAATGGACAAAATAACTCAATACTTGGTCATGAGGCACATGAAAATTTTACAGATAATTGAATCCCACACTAACCCAACCTTAACTAACACTTTCGGCATTCCATATGCCCCAAACATTACAAGATATAAAAATCTACATACACCCCCAAACTTTCAAATAGCAAACAATTTCTGAAACTCCCTTCCTCTCCCCAATCCTACCCACTTCCATCCCAAATTTACTGGAGCCCATCCCTCCCAAAACTCAGTAACAAACCACTCGAAGAAAACACATCCAAAGCTCCACACATCAAATTAGGTTCACATATCAATAATCGAGTAAAGGCGTGAAGTCGCCAGCTCAAAAAGAAATGTCAAAACTAGCAAATAATGCAAGCTCAAGAACCGCTTTAATAACTTGGGAAATGTAGTTCCATATGTGAATGGATCATTAAAGGAAACTTTTCCTTTTCGTGGTCCTTCGAGCAGGATAAAAAAAGTTTAGGGGACCCCATTTATTGAAAGAAATTCTTAGTAAATACAAACTTGTGACTGGGACATCTCTGCTTTCGTTTTTAGAATTATATTCTCTGATAAATCTTGAATTATTCTTACCGAAAAATAAGCCCTATTATATGATGAATGAGACTGTCTTCTCGTACTTTAAAATATCTGCTAGCTTCGCATAACGTCCTCAGTATACATGATCTGCCATTATATCCCATCCTGCAAATTCAATGTGCAATAATCCATTAAGAAATTTTCTATCAAGCTTGTACTAACGATGTTAAAACGTTCTCAACTTTTGAATACAAATCTCTACGATTCCTTCTTTTTTGCGCAGCACCATTTATGTCCAAAAAGGGCCTTGTATCGTTGGGTAATTCATAAACCAAACCCCAATTGATCCCTTCAGAGAAAATGGCCGCACTGTCTGTTATGCCCATTTGAGAAGTGACGCAATAAACAGCCTAAAAGATGCTTATAGAAAATACAAATTAAACAGGATTTTTTTTACCGAAAAAGCTGCTCCTTCTGGAAAAGCCACATAGCGTTTTTTCCTCAACAGTTTCTTTTTATCACTTTCGCACACAACACATAAGCAAAGAGTCAAAAACAAAATAATTTTTTTGAAATACATAATAGCAATATATTAATTCATCACACAACTAAAATATAATTCAACATGGCTTAAAAAGAGCTAAAAAAAATTATGAGGTTGCTAAAAAGAGAAAGTAGAGCACATATACAGGAGGATACAAAAATTAATTCAATAAGAAGTTGAAACATATTAAATGCCTAAACTAACTGTAACGTTTAATTTAGTTTTGTTTGCTTATAAACTTATATGCTATAATTTAATAGTAAAAGACTCCATGGTTGGGATGTAATGCATACCTACTTTAGTGTGAAGATATGTTTCCAATGTTTACAATAAAACATTTATAATGTATTTAGGCTACTTGACGTTTTTCTTGTTTTTCTTGGAATTTTCCTTGGGAATAAAAAATGATGGATTAGTGAAAAGCAGACGCAAGAGATATGTCGCTTTTCCCGAAGGATCAACGTTTATTGTAAGTAATTTTTCTGTAAGTTTATCAAATATTTTAAGGCATGTTTTAAGGCTACTTTATGTTTAACATGGAATATCGTTGGCAGAACGGAAAATATTTTCGTGGAAGGTCTCAATTGGGGTATATCTTATGACTTACCCAATGCTACAACAGTAATGCAGGTATTCAATACAAATAAATTTGCACATAAAAGAAGACAGAGGAGGGATCTGTATAATAGAATAGAGAGTGTGCTGGAAAAGTAAGTGATAATGATATTCTACAATGGAATTGGAGCTTACCATTATTACCTAATAGTATTATTTAGTATGGGCTTTGAAGGAAAACCTTGCATCTACAGGGCCATGTGCGAATCTGCAAGGAAACTCAATAGAAACGACTTACCTTTGGCTCAAGAAATTTTACGAAAGTTTTTCACGTTAGTTTTGTTTTTCATATTATAATAATTGCTGTATCTTACAGAACTAATTTTTCAGGTATCCACTAGAAAGACTGTCGAATCTCGAACCAGACGAACATAGAGAATACCATTCGGCGACAAAATATAGCTTAGAAAATAGACATTTGGACTGTTCTGATTTGTTTTCGGATTGTACTTTTTCCATTGTGAATATGGCTTTGGGAAACTATTTAGTATAAATTTGTTTTTGAAATGGAACCCCTGTATCTTTATTTAGGCTACATTAGTATATGATTAATATCGAAATATAAACGAAAAAACTATTGATGATAGATATCCACTACCTAATATTACTGATATATTAGACCGACTTGGTCGTAGTAATTATTTTACGACACTGGATTTAGCTTCTGGCTTTCATCAAGTCGATACCCAAGACAGCATTTAATGTTGAAAATGGTCATTACGAATTCAACAGAATGCCCTTTGGGTTAAAGAACGCACCAGCAACCTTCCAAAGAGTGATGGATAATGTATTACTAGGATTACAGAATAGAATATGTCTAGTATACATGGATGATATAATAATTTTTTCCACTTCACTTCATGAACATGTGAAAAATTTGAAAAAAGTATTTGAGAGACTTGAGAAGTTTAATTTAAAAATACAATTTATTAGACAAATCAGTGAAGTTGTGAAATAAAGCTTTTAACTTGATAAACATTAAATCCTTTATTAATCATTATCAAAATTAGTAAATAACTGGCTAAATAAATCCAAAAAGGTGACTTTACATTCGGGAAAAAGTCGCTTGCATATTCGTTCCGAGTTTTTCCCTAACTCGTGTGCTGCTAAGTATTCATTATCCGAGTGATTTCTGATTGTTTCGTTTGTAGTCGACGGTCTAAAAATTATGAGTATTAAAAACCAACAAGCGAATCGTAAAATGGCAATTCTGAACCTGAACTTTTCAACCTTTCAAAAAGTTCATATAGGTACTAACTCTGTACTTGGCTCAGAAGCTTCATCCGGTCCTGTTAACGAGATTTTAATACTCACGTAAATATTGTATGAAAAACTTCTTCAAAAAATCCATGGTGATGATCCATAGGTACTTCAGCAGCCTCACAGATTGCTCTCAATACACAATGTCTCCCACCATGACCACGTCTTAAAAAATAATGAGTAATTCATAAATATTCCACACTAAATCCAAATTAATATTTACATTTCTGAGTCTTTTTCTAACGCATGATAAATATCCCACCTAGTGATTGGAGCACTACGACTAATATCAGTAAGATTCGGGTGAGTATAAACACTACTGTCGTTCTTTGGCACAGAATAAATACCTCTCATAAAGTAACCGAGTGTCGTTGATGGCATCAGGAGATCTGGAATTGGTGTGCCAAAACCTAGAATAAACTACTAACGTTGCAATATTTTATTAATATGATATTTATCAACTCACCTGTAAGACGCCAAAAGGTCCATATAACAATAGAGGGATTATAGCTCTTTTTTCTCTCTTCCTGTGTTCATGTTTATCGAAACTTGCTGCGTGAATTACGCAAAATATTGCTGAAAAATAGAAAATTCGTTTCCAACTATACATTTTTTAATAATTTGATCTGGTTTCGTGTGACCAAGGTTAGAGCTGTTGAATGATATTATTTCATTAACGTATATTATGCGTTACTTAGCGCTTACGAAGATAAAATATTTAAGAAACGGTACACATTAGAGGTCACGAGAATTTAACGCAATGTTTATGGTATTCAGAAATTTAGAATTATGTATCTAATAATGTAGATTAAAATAGAGCCTAGATTAGGTCCTTACATCCCGGGTTCCAGGACCTATAAAATGAAATATGATGAATTGTCTATATAATACAATCTCCCTATACACAGATTGGGAGAGACAACTGCTATATAGGTGAGGTTTATAACCTATATACCAGGCAAAACTAATCCTAATCCTAAGACAATATTAGTTTTTATTAACCAAATCTTATAGAATAATATGCCTACATTTTTACTTAGATAAGAATCGAATTTAATCAAAGTTTTTGTTTAATAAAGAGAGCTAAAACTTTTATATTCTAAGTTCCTAGGTAGGTATATTAAATTAAATAGTTACCTACCTTCCTATACAAAGCTCAAAGGGAGAAAGGGGTTTTTAAAAACAAAAAGATAGAGTTAATTTTTCAAAATTCTCTTCTTACGATATTATTCGCCATTTGCTTTTGCAAACAAATAAGTTATTGATAACAATTGTCCACTCACTGTTTTGTATTTCATTCTTCCATTGCATACTCTCATATATTATATGATAATTAGCAATTACCCTCAAATGACGATAGTGCAAATTTGTTAACTAAACTCTCTACCTAATTATTTATTTATTGTGCTAATACCGCGTGTGTGATCTATTGTTTATTAAATATATAAATTAATAAATACGTAATAAAATATTGACGGAAAGAGGAAACCACACCTTCATATAATTATGTTTGCAACTTCAGTGACACAAACTCTTCATGCAGATTGGAATTTTCGAAATTTGCTCGTCGTTTTTTATTCCACATTCCTGGCATAAGGTCCGAGTGGTATTCTGGTATTCATCTCTAAGCCAGGACGTTATAGTTACGAAGTGGCTAAGGATTAATTCTAAAAGAAAAACTGGTAGACACATTCATTAAGGAAGGGGCATTGAAGACAATGCCCATGCACACGCCTACAGGACTACCATGTCAACTGAGACGGCTCTTCACAGCTTTGTGGCAAGGCTGCGGAGCTAGGGATGTCTCACAAAGGGATAGCTTTGGGGGTATTTCTAGACATCGAAGGGGCATTTAACACCTCCTTCGACTCGAAAGAGAATTTTGCAGAAAGCTTTGGTAAAAACAACACCATTGTGAAATGGATCTGTGTCATGCTGGAAGACAGAATCATTACAAGCTCGATTGGAAGTGCGAAGATCATCTCAACTGTAGCCAGAGGCTGCCTGCAGGGAGGTGGACTATCGCCCTTGCTGTGAAGCCTAGTGCTGGATGGGCTGCTCCGCACTCTTAACATGGTCCAAAGATGGTGTAATAATCACGAGCTCTCGGTAAATCCGGACGAGACTAAAGAAGTACCTACAAAGCGAAGAAACTTGGGCCTGGAAGGGCTCACGCTCTTCGGATCGAGTCTTGCTTCATTTGGTTCGGTCAAATATCTAGGAATCATCATTGAGTCCAGGCTGACCTAGAAAGATCACGTCAACAGACTGTAGAAGATCCATCGGTCGCACCTGGAGCTTACAACCCCACATATACCACTGGCTTTACTGGTCCCGCAAAATAAGGTGGCGCTGGTAGGCATAGCCGTCGGTCCCTTTTCTTGGCACAGGTAAAGCTAAAATACAAACCATTTCGATTCTCAGGGGCGTCGGTAATTGGTATGACGATGTTAACATTACAAATAAATTATCGTATTGTACCTACACGCCACTGGTCCCCATCCGTTCACCAAGGGTAGGGTTTACAGTTCAGCTTACGCCCTTACCATTTCCGAATTTTGTCTACTGCGCAAATTGCTTCTTCGCCACCTTATTATGCGGGACCTGTACACTGCAGTGATAAGACCAATAATTACGTACGGTAGCTTAGTTGGATGGAACGCGCTTAGCAAATCCATCTACAGGGCAAAGCTGGACAACCTCCAATGACTTGCCTGCATTGCTACAATTGGAAACTTAAGAACTAGGTAGCCCAACGCTGGCAATTTAGGCCATACTGGGAATAATGCCTCTCTCTTTGTGAAGGCACGGGCCCGGGAGGCTTTAGTCAAACTCAACGATTGGGGATAATGAGTTCATAAAGGGGTGAATATGGGACATGCAATGGTTGATTGTCGATTGATACTATCAGACAGGACCCCCATCAGAAGGGATGCAATGCCAAAAACGTCAACCCTCTTTAAACAATACAAGGTCGTCATCCCTGCAAGGGAGGACTGGCTATAGCCTGACCCAGGTTTCCTCAAGCCGAAGGAGCTCATCTAGTACAGGGGACTCTGATGGAAGAAGGTGCAAGGGCTGTTGTATATGGGAAGAGACTTGTGGCGAGAATTTCTTGCACTAAGTGAATACCCATCAGTATACGATAGACTGAGACCTACGCCATACAGGTGTGTGCTCAGGAGAATCTCCAGCAACAGCCAGGCAGCACTCTGAGGCCCATTGCTCAGACAAGTTCAACTCAAGGCTCACGCTTGACTGTATGACAACCCAAGTACTATTCATATTCAGTGAGCTTAACAAGCTCACCCTTGTTTGGGTCCCGGGTCACACGGGTATAAAGGCAACGGAAAACTAGGACCAGCTGGCGCGTGAAGGTAGCAACACTGCCCCTGTAACTAACCGGCCTAAGAGTCCTTTTTCTTTCTTTTTTGCTTCGTAATACAATTAATTGGCTTTTTTACCAAATAGATTAAATTGCCAAATTTCTGACGAAACTGTACCAAGAGCCAAGGGTTATCAGTCGGTTTCGAACATATTTCCATTGTCAATTTATTATTTTATTTACTGTATGTTTTTCTACTTATTGTCGTCAAACTATCTTTCTATCTTATATCCACTTATTTGTTCATTAATCCTTTGTTATGACTTTCAGTCATTTTGACTGCATTTTCGCTATTTTTCCTATCCTTATTGTATAAACCGTTCAATTGGATCGTTCACTGTTGAAACCCTGATATCTAACAAGGCCGATTTGTATTACCCTGTCGAGGATGTTCTCTAGCATTAATTGTAGATTATAACTAGCATAATTAATCGCTTATCGTAGAACATACCTTACCTGTACACTTATTTTCTCCATTTTTATTCTAAATTCAAATTCAGTACCTATTGTCATGTAACTTACTCTTATATTATTAGAAGCCTATTCTTTTATTGTACTTATTCCTTTATTTCAATCGTTTTACTGATTTTCCATTGTCTTTAGTTGATACCTATATTATCTATAATAAATTTCATATGAATCTTTATCGTAAAAGAATGCTTCTTTGATTTATTTTGATAACCGATTCCTCTCAACACAGTTAAAATCCCAATACATACAGCTCAGGTAGCAAGAAAATGGACTAATAAGGGCAACCGAATCAGTTACATAAAATTGCTCTGTTGCGATTTACCGAGAATTTCAGTGGGACTTTAGTCATAGTCTCTGGTGGCACGCTACCGCAATACGTGTAACGTGCAACAAAGTCTCCCTTACTCGCTCGTCATATCCAGTCGGCGGCGGTAACACCCCTTTATAGGGCCAGAAAAAAACAACCCTGCACTTGGGGTTGCTCCCTGCCTGGTGAAAACCAAGATCAAGAACTGGTCCAACAACCAGTTTCAAGAGGAAGGGCCGAGTCAAAGAGGCCTCAGACAGTCAAGGATCTTTATACAAGGTCCCTCAAACTGCAAGGAGGCAAAAAGCCTCCTAACAAGAGCCAACTTATAAGAGGGTTGAGACAGGGGAATAGCACAATGATAGCTCGTCTACGTGCTGCCTGTGAAGGCTCCCCTTTCAAATAAATCAATCAATCCGCCTGTGGTCGATCGAATCTAGTAGGGAGTTAGTAGGCGTACTGTGCCAAAACAGAGACGAGACAAAGAGACACTTTCCCTACCACTGAAGATACAACCATCCCCTGCACCCTCTATGAATCTCTCAAGATAAAACTATCCCCCTACCGTACCCTCTGTACGGATCCCCATCCCAGCCACGGTCGGAAGAGACACATACAGCTACCCTAACCGCGCCCTCTTTACCCCTACCGGGCCACTACACACAACCATCTACCCCAGCCCAGTATTTCCCTATCGCGCTCTCAAAAAAACACATCAAGTATCCCTCCAAGCAATCCCCCTCCAAGTCAGGTGCCTGCTAAACCAACATAAAACCAGCAAAATCCAGCTCAAAACTAGCAAGAAACCACTGAAAACCAGCACAAAACCAGTGAAAACCAGCACAAAATCAGCTAAACCAGCAAAATCCAGATCAAAACCAGCAAAATTCAGCACACAAAACCAGCAGAATTTAGCACAAAACCAGCATAAAACATAGGGGGGTAATTGTGTGTAGTATCTCGAGTGACCCCGGTAGCGGGATTGTTGTATCTTGAGTGGAAGGGGGGGTATCTCTTTGTCTCATCTCTGTTTTGGCCCAGAACGCCTATATACTCCCTACTAAATCTTTTTTTTTTCCATTGGGTATCATCTCTCATGTCTAATATCGACAGATCTGCGTTCTGTCCAGCAATGTGGGGTAGAGAATAATAAAGTACCTACATAAGTTAGTTGAAAAGAGGGAAACAAATTCATTGTTTATTTTCTTGTTTTATTTTTGAACAGATTACTTAGCACGTGGCCATCGCAACTTGGATACATTTCGTCACAGTCATGATTTTCGTTGGCTGCTTTATCGTAGTGATCTTCTTCTGGATATTTATCATATCTGGACCTGAAAATATATATATTTGTTTGTCATTATAATAATATGTAATAATAATAACTACATTGTTCCGGTAGCGGGATCTCTTTGCGAGCAAACGAGGTTAGACAAACTTACATTCCCAAATGATAACACAGAAAATCTGGAAACTCAAAGTCTTTCTCCACAAATACTTATAGTTTCAAAAGGCCTACATGTTTCGAGATTGAAAAATCTCATCATCAGGGGCAAATTAGCTCATATACATATATTACCAGGGATGGATATCAAAGGCTGCCAGATTATGCATTTTGTAGAGGAAGAAACACAAAATTTTTAACTTATTTTTGACCTTTTTTTCCTCTACAAGATGCATAATCTTGCAGCCTATGATATCCATCCCTGTTAATATATGAGATGATTTGCCTCTAATGATGGATTTTCTAATCTCGAAACATGTAGGGCTTTTTGAAACTATTAAAGTATTTGTGGAGGAAGATTTGAGTTTTTCTTTTGGAATTGAATTTCAACTCCACTTTGAGATATGGACTACCTACTTCTTCAGTTTGAAAGATATTACGCAGAAAATCGAGTTGAAGATGAATTTCTACATTCCTAATTAGCTGCTTAATGTAGATGAAACTAAGATACAGACGATGTAACGATTCCCAGAAGTAAAGCGCGAAATGAAGACGTTCATAGGAGAACTGCTAATGTTGTCCCTTTTTAGAGTGATCCAGAAAGATCAAATAGAAGCGATCTTTTATGTAAGTAACAGTAACTAACCATTCTAAACATATAGGATAGTCAAACCGAGAATGTCTTGTACAGAGTGCTTCAACACCTTCCCTCATATTGAAATGTTTGGCCATGCCATCTTGACTTGAATAGCGGCTTTGTCATAAAATCAGCTAGTTGAAATTCAGATGCACCTTTTTTAACTATCGCTGAACTTCCTTGAACTAACTCTCTTACAAAGAAGTGTCTTATGCATATCTGTTTAGTTCTAAGATGGAACTGATTTTAGTAGACATTGAGTCTTCATAAAGTCGCTTCAACAGAAACTATTTTACTAAGGCAACAATGAAATTTGTGTAGTTTATACTATTTCCGATTGCAACTAATTATTGTTAAGTCTAATTTTACTAAGTAATTCAATAACATATGTTGCATGAAACCAATTCACTTACTTAAAAATTGCTTTTACTATCTCTTCCCACATAGTGCCTTTTTCTTCCGGCAACTTATGTACTTGGCATATTGCTTTCAGAACACACACCTTACCGTCTCTTGTCATTCTAAAAATAATTTTTAACTTCAGAGTTTAAAAGTTTTGTTTTGGTAAAAATAAATGGACTTACGCTGTTAGAAGTTTTTCAACTCTTTTGTAAAGTTCTCTTTTGCTACGTCTGTGAATGTGGTGAGCTTCGGTAGCATAGGATTTAGATTTTAAGGGAGCTGGTTGCGACATACTCCTGAAAAGAAATTCAATTGAAACTATTGACAAATTGAATCAACAAGAAAACTTACCGGCCATAATTGGTTCTACTCCAAAACCTTGAAGGATTATTATTGTAGTATCCATTGTAGTTATCATGAAATTGTTGATGCTGATAAGGATTTGAATAAACTCTATCAGTGTCAGTTGCCCAATTTAAATTATCTGAGTAGTCCCAAACCATTGGTGGTGCCCATTCTAGACAAAAAAATAGGTACATAAAGTATTAGTTTTTGTCTCAGCAACCAGATACTTTACTAGGGTCTGTTGCGGGATCATGATCCAAATATTCAGGAATAGGTTCCGAAGTAGTAATTTCAGGTTTTTCATCATCTTTTCTCTTTCCATCAAAAGTTATTGGTTTCGATGGCAGTTCCCATGCCATTGCAGCTGTGTTACCAAATGTAAAAACGTTACCTTCAATTGCGACTGATGGAACGGTGAAATCGAATACTGGAAATTATGTTGGTTATTACAAATTTATTGTTGTAAGAGTTGTTGAACTACTCACCAACTTGAAAAGAACTACCCTCTGGGAATGTCAAGTATCTTCTTTGCCTTGACAAAGTAGTACTTTTGCCTTTTTTTAATTTACTATTAATATCGTCTTGTAAATTTGCTTTTAAGTAATCCGTTTTGGTTAATATTATAACGAATATGATAAGAAGAGCGTTCATGTTTTAAAATATTTTATCATAAATTTTTTGAAGTATTGATTTATAAATTATCACAAATGTTGAAAGAACAGTACGACAAAGTCAACAGCCCGGTTTGAGAGTACAACCGTATTTGTGATACGTTATGCGTATTGATATGTATTTACACTATAAATTATAACTTTCTAAGAATCGTAATTTTTGACCCTTGATAATTAATTTTGCAAGAAAATTGGAGTTATTAGAATAGAACGATAGAAGATTTCATAAAAATTATGAGTTAATTTATAAGTATATAATCATTGAATTTTATGTAAATATAGCGGTATGCTAATTCATGTTTCTATATTCTAAAGCTCCTCTGAACAGTTAACGGTATTATCTATGTAGGTAGCTTTGCACGATGGTGTCAAAACCAATTTTAGTGTCTTTTGGTTTTGTACTAATCTTGATTAATACTCATAGAAGTTATGGAAGAAGCAACTTACAAAAAGATATTACATCAAAAATTGAGAATAATAATGAGGAGGTGGTTTTATCTAGAAGGCGTAGATATTTACAGTTTCCTGCAGGAAGTTCTTTCCAATTAGGTAAGTGAGCCTTTTCAAAATACCTACTTATTAAAATTATTGATTTTTTTCTAGTATTTTGTTTCACTTATCCATCAGTGGGAGTTGGTTCGTATTTCGTATTTGGACACACGGCAGCTTTGGCTTTCGAATTGCCTTCGATGCCTTTGCACTTTGACGGAAAAGATTTTCAAAAGAAGGACGAAGAACCTACTGAAGCTGCTACAACTGAAATGCTGAAAGGTAAAGAAGCATATTCACACAAGCCCAAATAAATTACTTTGAATGCTGACAAAGGCGTTCTATCGCGTGCTAATACATCAAATGAAATTATCTCACCTTGTCAATCTAAGAATTCTTGTATTGTCATTATTTCTCTTCAATCTGTTCTCCAATTACTTCATCCTATCCAGGTAAGGCTTATGTCCTGTGCGCCTTTTCAGATTATCCAGAACTGAAATTCACTCATTTTAACCGTACCGACCATGAACGAGTAGACCATGGGTATTCTCCTTGGAATTTGCCTAATAGTAATATGCCTATTAGTTCCTATAAAAATGAGTTCATGGATTATGTTAAAACTCCTGTTTATAGTGCTAGAAGAAGAACAAATAATTATTCCAATAGTGATATTAATTTGAAATACCAACAAGCACCTTATTCACAAAGGTAGTATTAAGAGCCCAAGCAGTTAATTTATATTAATATGTACTTAATTATTTTAGGTACAATATCAATAATCAGCATTCCCATATGAAACTTACTTTGGATCCCAAGTTCTATTCTATCCACAGAAGAAGCAGAAGAGAGGTTTACAAAAAAATCGAAAGTTTTCTCTCTAGGTGCGCGAAAACACTTTTTTGAAGGTGAATTTAATTATTATTTTTCAGGTTAAACCTGGATGGGAAAGCATGTCTTCTGAAAGCAATATGTGAAACAAGACAATTGTCAAACGACAAGCAAACATTTTTTAAAGAATCCTTCAAAGGCCTATTTAGGTACCTATAACCAGATGCTTTTCGGCTTAAAATCAGCTCACTCGCGTATATAACAGTCTCAAATAATATTATTTTGGTGTATGTAAATTCAATAGCAATACGTTTTAGTGGCATGCTAACACTCCGCTTTATAGAGTGCATTCCACTTGATAATCCATGTTTGGTAAATTGTGTTATCAAATGCATTATACGATTTACAAACACAATTTCCTATGCCGTATTTAGTTGTGCAGGATCAACATTATATTACGGACATAATTTGAACTCTTTTGAGTTAATTAAACTTTTAAATTTCATTTTAGAGCAAAACCACATGATGATCATGATGATGAAGATGAATACGACGCTGCTTATAATCCCAATCATAATTGTGAGGAAATGTTTAGTGGATGTAAAGGATCGGTTAACGATATTCAACTACTTGTGCGGAAATAAAAATGTTTGACTTGTAGTTTTATTTTCAACTATTTTGATTTTGATAATCTCATAGCAGTAACCAGCCATTTCTTAGATCAGCAAGGTTTAGGGTAACAGCAGCATGTATACCTCCATTCTACATTTAGTACTTGAAACGTTAAACACACTGGACGGGATTTGCAAAAAACTTGACGAAATCTACCTCCTGTGGATATCCAGAGAGACCTCAGTTTTCACTTGTTCTATTCCAGTGAAAAGAAAAACAAGATAAAAAAGTTATGCAGTAATTGCCAATAAAAACAAATAGTGTTAAGATAAAAGAAAAGACAAAATTCAGCTTAAATTTAATTTGCCACAAGTATCGTGTTTATTATCAGAATATTTTAAGTTCTCACCTGATTCCTTATTCTTGAAACAGGGGAGCAGCGTTTACAGGAGAACACGTATTGAGTGTTCCGTCTTTGTTACTTATATTATCATTTGCATATCATTGAGAAAGACGGAACACTCGTTCTCCTGAGAACACTGCTTCTCTGTTTCAAGAATAAGGACACTGGAATCTTTCCAATAAGAGATTCAGCCCTTGTAACATTAAGTAAGCTCCTCCGAACTGACCAATCCCGACATAGAATTGATCCAGGAGAACAAATCTCTATGATCGTTGAGGAATCTTTGCAAGTCATAGGAGTCCAACAGTTTTTTTTTTGCGTGAATTAGTCTTGGCATAGTAAGCTCCGTAACTCGGCAATTTCATGTTTTTTGTGTGAAGTTAGTTCTGTTTGTTCTGGATGAGGTTGTATGTACCTGTATGGAGAACCCGTCAAGAAGACGTTTGATGCTGACGTGCAAATCATAGACAGTGCAAACTGACACGAGTGTCCCAGGAAGAGAGATCGGAACGCACACGAAAGATGAAGATAGTATAAACGAATTGGAACATTGTGGTAGTTATCAAGAGTGGGAAGATCTAGGCGAGGCAAACTGGGACGAGTCGGTATACCAGATAACGGAACTGAAGGAAGGAAAGCTACTAGAGGATAAAGAAGTCAGAATCAAAACGGTACTGGTTAACAAGGACGACATAAAGATGGAGAACGGAATACACAGGCAGTTCTGGGTGAAATACCCAGTGGAACAGGAACACAAGATAAGAACCGGAACTACCATCGGCCTAATAAACCAAAGGAAGCTAGTCAAACTCATATACGGAGACAATGAAGAGGATATCTACAACAAGTTGGTGAAATTAAAGGCGGAGGAAGCAATGACAAGGAGATAATAGTACATCAAATAGAGACACTAACCACAGAAAGATTTAGAAAAATGGCAGAGTACCAAGATACAAATATGTATTTAAAAAAAAGACGAAAAAACAAATAAGAGGAAGGAAATAAGCACCTACGCAATGATAGTCGATGGAAAATCTGGATCATATCAAGAAACGCCAAAACAAGTAAAAGAATCCCTCAGGGGGAAAGTGACGAGCTGGATGACGATGTGTGGGGAAAGGCCTACCAAATATTAACGAAAAGACTTAAACCAGGAAACAGGTCACCCCCAGATGACAAAACAATTGCAGAGCAAATAGAAAGACTTTTCCCCACAGACGAAAGGGTAACATGGGAGCCCCTGGAAGTGGACGAAAACAAAATACCCCCGATTCGATATGAAGAACTCACGGATGCCATAGGTCAAATTTAAAAAAAGAAGGCTCCGGGACCGGACGGCATAACACCTGAAGTCGCCATGCTGTGTGTCAAGAGGAATACAGATACGTTTTTGAAGGAGAATTCCCTGAAATATGGGAGACGGTCAATCTGATACTCATTGAGAAGCCCAGAAAAGAAAATCAAACAACAACAAGCTACAGACAGCTATGCCTCATAGACTGTGCCGGGAAAATATTAGAGGTGATAATCAAGAATAGACTGCACGCGGAGATGCAAGAGAAAGACCTAATTCACGAATACCAGTACGGCTTCACAAAAGGCAGATCTACTCTGGACGCTATCATGAAGATCCAGGATATTACTAGAGATATAAAACTGGAAGCATACAAGAATCGGGAGATCTGTGTGATGGTTCTTGTCGATGTGCAGAACGCGTTTAACTCCGCGCCGTGGAGGGAAATTTTCAGGGCAGTAAAAAGGGGAAATTTCTCGGATTACCTGGTGAGAATGGTGCAGTCATACTTCACTAATAGAAAAATTATCGCCCAGAACGAGAGAGTATTTGACATGACCCCAAGGGTCCATATTGGGACCAATTCTATGGAATGTCCTGTACAATCAAGTGTTATGCCTGGAGATGGAAGAGGGAGTCGATCTAATTGCATAGGTAGCAAATGACCTAGCCATAGTGGTCAAGGCCAAAACCGTTGCAAGCTTGGTGGATAGAGAGAATGAGCATAACCGTGGCAAAGGAACTACTGCTCACAAGAACGCGGACTGGGTGAGATATCTGGGGGTTATCTTAGACAGAAACCTGCGTATGACCCAACATATTAAAAACATAGTGAACAAAGGAACACAAATGATAAAGCTGTTGCTCAGAATCATGCCAAGAGTTGGAGGCCCAAAAACAAGGTAGAGAAGGATAATAGTATGCGCTGTAACCTCGGCGATATTGTACGCCGCACCGGCATGGGGCATTGCACTTGAATACGGATATTACCGAGACCTCTGGAAAAGGGTAAACAGAAACATCGGCATATACGAAAGCAAACACATTGGCGGTAGAAGGCGTAGAGGCGCTGGCAGGACTACCACCGATGGATCTAATGGTTGAAGATCGGCAGCAGATTTATGAACGAGAACGAAACTATAAAGAGACAGCAAGAGTGACACTTATGGAAAGGTGGCAAACGTTTAGTGGCTGGGCCAAAACATTTGTTAAAATCGTAGAACAATGGACCAAGAGAAGGCAGGACTACCACGTAACCCAAGCAATGACCGGCCACGGAAGTTTCGGCACATACTTGAAAGATATCAAGAAGCGAGAAAGCGATGAGTGTTGGTATTGCGGAGATAGGGACACGCCAGATCACACGATTTTCCACTGCCCCAAGTTCAATATACATAGAACCACGGCCACAGCGGTGTGTGGAGTGGAAGTAGGCTGAAAATATCGCCGAACTGCTACTGAAAGACTAGGAAGGCTGGCTTGCAGTCGCAAGGATGCTAAGGGAAATAATGGAGGCGAAGTGTGACGAAGAGAGAAGGAGAGAGAACCAGGCAGAAAACAACAATAGGGAAAACAAGTAAGGAGGAGGAATCCTTGAAGCAATTGCTATTCGGTAGTCCCAGGGACGGTAGGGGAAGGGTTTTAGTGAGTAGACACGTCCAGAATCCCACACTACTCGATGCGATTGCTTAAATTATTATTAGGCGCCTCGTCTTTTTCTTGGATCCAATTTTTTGATTTTGATGTTTTGGTGAGACTTTTTGCAGTTTTAGGGACGTTGTATAAAGATCCTTAACTGTCTGAGGCCACTTTGATTCAGCAGTTCGTTTTGGGAACTGGTTGTTGGACCAGTTATTGATTTTGGTTTTCTCCAGGTATGAACACAGCCAATGCAGGCTCTGGCCCAATAAAGGCAGTGTTACAACCTTTTATGCCAGTGTGAAACGGGATCCAAATAAAGGGTGACCTTGTTAAGCCCACTGAGTAGTTCTAGGGTTGTCAATCAAGCGTGAGCCTTGAAATGACCTTGTCTCAGCAAAGAGCTCGGACTGCTGCCTGACTCTGTCGCTGCATATATAAATATACTTGCCCGAGTAACCTCTCTGGAGATTCTCCTGAGCATACACTTGTATGTCGTAGATCTGAGTCTCATAAGAAGTCTGTGTACCAGATGTGCCCTTTCTGCTTGAAGAAACCTGGGTCAGGCTCTAGCCAGTCATCCCTTGCAGTAATTACGACCTTGTATTGTCTAGGGAGGGCTGAAGTTTTTGACATTGCATTCCTTTTGGTGTGAAGGGGGTGTATTCCTGTCTGATAGTATCAGTCCAGAACATTGCATGTCCCATGTTTAGCCACTGGACTATGTGGGGCTATAAGGTAAGCCCCAGGTGCGTCTGATGGATCTTTTACAGGCGCGACCATAGGCGGATTTGAAGGACAAGATGAGTATAGGAAAAAAATTACAACCAACCAAAAAAAAAAGTAAGATGTTTTACATAAGTCTGACTCAAATGTTCCACTATGGATTTTTCCATCAAATAATTTAATTATTTTTCTATTTCACTAGCTAGAATCATCAAATATAGAAGACAACATAAGTATATGTGATGTTGCAATAGTATTCCGTTCGTCACACTAATTCCGAAAACAAACACAAAAATAACGTTCCGGAAATTACATTCACAAACATAACAGCATTCGACGAACCTTCTAACTGTATCCAAAAATTCAGTAGGTAGTTAATTATTTGATTCTATTTGTCGAAAAAGCTAAATTTTAAATAAGCAAAATACATGCGAACGACGAAACTCCGGTAAAAACATACACAAGGAAATGTATAAACATTCGACTTCCTACCTTTTACTGATTTTCGGAGTTGTTTACTTTTATTCGTACGAAGTGGATGGAAACTTGCAAAATGATATAACGGTCCGACTCCGGAAGGGAAATAACACGCGTTTATCAAGAGCCAGGAGATATTTGGTGTTTCCTGAAGGAAGTTCATTCCAAGTCGGTACGTATTTTCATGATAATATACTTTTTTTTAAAAATAAATATTTCAGTTTTCGATTTGGCTTATCCATGCCTGGACACTGTGGGTTTTTTTGTTTACGGAAATACCGCTGGCTTGGCTTGGGAGTTACCGTCAGAGCCTATTTTCTTGGACGCTAAACATGGCAAACATGAACCACCAACCACAACGATGTTGCCACATTTAGAACATCCTGATGTAGAATATGAAGGTAAAAATATAGTTAATGTTTGGGAAATTGCGTGAGATGCTTTTTTAGATTGGCATTCGCCACAACCATGGAACGACTTTGGTAAAATGGATTATCAAGTAGCTGACAAACAAAGTTATAATCCAAACCACAATTTACAATTTGACTCAATCGATAGATCTCCTGTCAGCTCCTATTATAACCCTTTCGATAGTTACAGCCAGAAATACAGCTCTAATAAATATCCTGTACACTATGTTAGAAATAATCCGCCTAATGCTGCCAGGAGATATTCGTATAAAGCTAATCCGAATGGCTTTTGGAATAACAGAAGGAGTTTTCAAACTACGCAAAGGTAAGTTTAAGCTAAACTAAAACATAATACATTTGACAATATTATTTTAAGATATAGAGCACCGCAATATAAGTCAGAATCTCCAACAAGGAATTATGATTATGGAGATGATTTGCATCATATTATTCATAGAAGAACTAGAAGAGAACTTTATGGGAAGTTGGAAGAACTAATTTCAGCGTAAGATGTTTAATGCTCAGTTGTTACATTTAAGGCTGATTCTCATCTAAGCAGCATCTGGCTGCTTACAGTTGCTTGCTTGAATTTCATTCTTTTAGATGGCAATTAATGAAAAATCACAATTCATGCTTTTGCTGCTTTGATTTCTGTTGATGGTTAGAATACCTCTTAAAAATGCTGCTTCAATGAGAATCGATCCTCATAATCCTGGATTTAGGTATAGGTTCAATCAAACATGATCTAGTGTTGAATATCATACCTACACTGAATACAATATTTTGGAGGTCTCTAGGAAAGTTCAATATTTGGCTCTTCTTGATTTGTCTCAAATGATCTATATGAAATATAAATTGTATAGAACGATACTTCTATTTCGTTAATCGAATGAATATGTATTTTTTTCTTCTTCTTCCAACTGGGGTTGCATACCTACCTCTGTGTATTTTTTTACATAATTTTTTCAGAATTATATTATTCGTGTATGGTTTTACGAAGCCCATACATCCTCGATTAGTTATATCAATAAAATTTACTTCTTTTAGGTTGATCAGAGATGGAAAATCTTGCATTCTAAAGACTATTTGTCAACTGAACAAGTCTCCAAAAGAAAAAGGAACGTTTTTTGAGGAACTACTCAAAACAATTTTCAAGTAAGGCCTTGCAAAATTACATCCTCAAAAACAATTTTGAATATATTTTTGTAGAGTTAAGCCAGACGAGTTTCACCAAAACGAAGACGACTACGATCTGGCAGCTAATTTAAATCACAACTGTGAAGAAATGTATCCAGCGTGTGAAGGAAATGTGCTAACTAAAATAATGAATGTAGCTCTCAAAAAATAAAATCCTGTTTTAGAGTCATTTTATTAAATTAAAACATTCATAAACCTAGAAAATTGCCTAATGGGATCAATAGGACATTCAGGATAAAGTCGATCACATGCACCAAAATCTCTCCCTAACTTTTCGGCAGCATGATATTCATTGTTAGAGTGGTCTTCTATGTCGTCTTTTGTAGATGAAGGACTACAAAAGAAAATTATATCAAATTCCTATTCAGTTGCAGAATATTAAAGCAATATCACTGTTTCAAGTTTATCAATTATGCAAACTATTACATTGCAAAGCTGATTTCGCAAGCGAACAGGACTTCGTCAACAATACAAGCAACTTGTCTAAAGTTAATTTTGATTAAGTTGAACTCTGACCGGAACGAGTAATTAATCCTGGATTTTAATAAAAGTTGTCGTAGAACACAATTTAGCTTTCCCCGAACAAGAGGAAAATGGAGAAAGTTACAGTGATTACTTACGTGAGAATGCTATGGACTATTTCGCTTAATAAACCGGACCTTTTTTCAAGTTGGATTGAGGAAACTTCACATATGGATTTTAATAGACAGGCTTTACCATCAGGATAGTTATTCCTGTGAAAAAGTTTTGGTATCTGTTTTCATGGGAGGTTCGGTTTTTCTTACCTATCGAAATGATATTCCAAAAATTTGTAAATCGTCCACCGTGAAACAGACCTTTTCTTTCTTTTTCTCTCAAAATCAATCTCAGGACGTGTATAGTAGCTACTGTTATTCGGCAACTGATAATAAGCCTTCATGGTCATTCCTATTGTAGCAGCTGCAGGTTCGATATTATCTACTGGTATACCAATACCAAATATAACCTGGAACAACGGAACAACATAATTTGAAAAATATATTATTGGATAATATTTTAACTTACTGATGCCCAATTGACCCCTGGTTTCCATACTAGATATCGTTTTTCTCTTGACAAAATATGGCTAATGTCTTTCACTGTAGAACTGTGAAAATGTTCCAAACTATAAATCACTTGGAGTTGAATATAAATAAATAAAACTTGGATCACACGCATTTTAGGACACTGATTTTGTATAGTGGTATTTACTAAATGTTATTTTGTTCGAGACACTTTAAAGCTTTCAAACTAACAATGCTAATTAATTGTAAGAATTTATTGTTAGTGGTTTTTATTTACGGACTCTTTGTTTGAAAAATTATAAAATATTGTCATGGATTTCGTGGGTTCACTGACAAAAACAACTTATATTAGTAATTTGCCTTACAAAATTCACTCAAGACTTGAATTTACGCAACAATTATTTTATTTAAACTGACTCCGACACCTACAGCACAATTTTGTGTTTAAATGATCCTCACACCCCCAAACTCTATTTACTAAATTATTTTAAGATTTTAAGCCAAAATCTTTGAAAAAAGGACTTCAGGAAAGTTCAAAAACATCAAATTGCTTAACGCGATTTTATTTCTGGAACTATAGGTCCAAATGTGGAAGCTGTGCTCGCAGATTACGCTTGCCCAACTCGGCTTGGTTGAGCAGCGGGACGATTGTATCGTTTTCTGTCAAAGAGCAGCCTCACTCTCTGCGTTGGCCAAGAAGGCTTGGGCACAGGAAACGATTTGAGTAAAACACCTTTTGAAGCTAGATAAATACTGATTTATTTCGAATCTTACATCCCTTTTTATATCAGATTTTGGTAAACTAATCGTGATAAAAACTGCAAAAATATAAAACACCGACCGTAATTACTTAAATGCATACTGGAATGCAACTTACGATGTTGGGATATTTTTATAATACCCAAACATTGTGACTAACTAAAATCTCATATAGCAACCGTGATATTGAATAAAATATAAATAAGTATACGAAGTCGGTCAAATTACGACGGCGAAGGTTAATCACTGTTTAAATTGTTCTAATTAAACATTCTGCCGCCTCTCCAGAATGAAAGAATGTAGAGATATTAGCTCTTTGTCTTCTTTTTGGTCTTGGTGTTGGTCTCTTGTCTGCTTTTGACGTCTTCTGTTGATAAGTTTTGTTGTCTGCCATCCTGCAATCACTAGTATAATGATGACTATGGTGGTGATGCTGCTAGTGGCTGCGGAGTCGGATTAACTTGTGGTTCGGCCTTTTTTGTGGCGAGCCACCTGCTTTCTGTATTTTTACTACTCGGATTGCTCCATCTTGGCCCTGGTGAGTTTCTATAATTCTCCCCTAAGGCCATTGACTTGGGTTTATATTTTCATCTTTGATTAGGACCATTGTTCCTACTCGTAGATTGTTGGTCTGATTCTTCCATTTGTATCTTTGCTGCAGTCTGGTGAGGTATTCTGTGCACCATGCGCTCCAAATGTTTCTCTTTAACTTTTGTACGTGTCTCCATCGTTGAGATAGGTTAAAATGTTCCGTCGATTCCAAGTTCGGTGGTGCTAGAAGTTCTCTTTCTATGAGAAACTGTCCTGGGGTCAAGATGTTAAAATCATCTGTGTCTTCTGTTAGCGGGTAGAGTGGTCTTGAGTTCAAACATGCTTCGATTTGATACACCAATGTTGTAAATTTTTCATAGGTCAAAGTGCAGTCTCCAATAACTCTCTTGAGATGGTACTCCATAGATTTTACACCTGCCTCCCATAGTCCTCCGAAATGTGGGGCTGCTGGTGGAATGAAGTGTCATTGTGTTCCTAAGTTGACGATTGTGTTTTACACAGATTGTGATTGTATCAATTTTGTGATTTCATCTTCGAATAAGCGTGCTGCTCCAACAAATGTAGTTCCGTCATCATTGTACATATTTGCACAATATCCCCTTTTGGCTGTGAAATGTCCAAGTGCTGCCAAGAATGCCTCTGTTGCATGTCAGTGACTACTTCTAGGTGAATGGCTTTGGTTGCTAGACATATGAATACTGCGATGTACCCTTTGTACGATTTGTGACCTCTTCCTTTTGTTGCTCTGACTTGAATCGGTCCGGCGTAGTCCACTCCTGAGTTTGTAAATGGTGGTGCTGGTGTTACTCTCGATTTCGGAAGTTGTCCCATGAGTTGCTGTGCGGTCTCGGCCTTGTGATGGATGTATACAATGCACTTATTTATAACGGCTTTGATGGGCCGCTTACCGTTGATGATCCAGAATCTGCTTCGTATGTACGACAATGTCGCTTGGTTGCCTCCATGTAGCGTGGTCTTGTGTGCGTTTCTCACCACCAACTTAGATATGTGAGAATGGTATGGAAGAATCATCGGGTGTCGTTGGTCGTAGGGAAGAGGTGAGTGTTCGAGTCTTCCTCCGACTCGGATTATGCTCTTGCTGTCGAGAGTTGGGTTGAGGGTCTGTAGCTTGCTTTTCTTGACGACTGCGTTTTGCTGTTGTAAAGACTTGTATTCTTCGTAAAACTCTTGTTGTTGGACTATTTGTATGATTTTTTGAACTTCTTGAAGAGTAAGACTTTCCCCTTTTTTGATGAATCGACGGCAGTAGGATGAGCATCCCTGTCAAGTTTGAGAAGCGTTCCAATATATCGCTCCTTATCGTAACTTCAATTTTGTGACATGTGGCTTTTACTTCTTCTTGAATGTCGGGAATGTTGTCTATGTGGGGATTTTACGGAGAAACATCAGCCAATGAGGACCTTTCCATCACAGATCAGCTGATTGTAGTTTGTCTGGGTCCAATCCCCTGGATATGATGTCTGTTGGGTTTTCTTGGGACTTGACGTGGTTCCAGGATGCCTGAAGGGCGTTTATGTGTATTTCGCAAACTCTATTTGCCACGAAAATTTTCCATTTCGTAGAGTCACCCTTTATCCAGACAAGAGTGATCATGGAGTCGGTCCAAGCGAAGGTCTGGGTGACACCCATTTGAAGTGCTGTCTTAGTTTTTTGAAAGAATTTTGATAGTAGGACTACTACACATATAGTTCCAAGCGAGGTAGGGTTGTTCTGTTTTTTTGCTGGAGTGACTTTCGCTGTTGCTGTTACTTGCAGCAGCGGTATAATGCGCTTATCTTCTTCTCCTATCCAACTGTAAATCACTGCACCATAGGCCTTTTCTGATGCATCGCAAACGCCGGGTAGTTCAATTTTTGTTTTTCTCAGATGTATCCACCTCGGAATCCTGATTTTTTCTACTTCTTTTATTTTGCTCTGAAACTGTATCCATCTTGAAGATATTTCTTGATCTACAGGCTCATCCCAGCTCAGGTTTCTTAGCCATAAGTCTTGAATGATGAGTTTAGCTTGTTTTACGATTGGAGACAACCATCCTAAGGGGTCGAATAACTTAGATATTTCTGACGAAATTTCTCATTTTGTTAATTTGCGTATCTCGGAGACTTTGACTTGGAATTTGAAGGTATCGTCTGCTGGTGACCATAGTACGCCCAGAGATTTCTTGAAGTCTTCCTGAGGTAGTTCTTGTATTTCCTGTTCTCGGAACTGTTCTGGAATTGATTGGAGTAATGCCGGTGATTTGCTAGACCATTTTCTCAGATTAAATCCAGCAAGGCTGAGCATTTTTAGTAGTTGGTTTTGTAGTTCTAGGGCTGATTCTGTATCTTTTGCTCCCGATAATATGTCATCGACGTAGAAGTCTCTTAATGCTGCTTGGCTTGCTGCCGGAAATTTGTTTGATTCTTCGATTGCAAGCTTCTGTAGTGTCTTGGTAGCTAGATATGGTGCTGAGGCTGTACCGTAGGTTACAGTGGTCAGTTCGTATTCATACATTGGTTGCTGTGGATGCTGCCTCCATAATATTATCTGGAATTGTTGATCGTCTGGATGAATTCGGATCTGCCTGTACATTTTCTCTATGTCTTAGATTCACTTCATGTCGGGTGACTTTCCTCATATGATCCAACTCTATGTATTCTTTCATAAATCCAGAATCCAGAATATTGTTCTTGTAAACTGGGATCTTGATGTTACTTTCTCTCGATGTTATTGAATCTTGCTGCGGCTCTTGGTTTAGAGTGACCTAATACATCTGCTAACTGCTTGAATGGGATTCTAACAATGAATCTATCCTCGGGGTCTCGAGTTGTGGTTTCCTCGAAAATTTCTTCGCATGCTTGCTCTTCTTCTATTAGGTGCTGCGCTTGGGTTATTTCTTCAATGTCCCAAAACTTGGTTAGCTGTCTATGTTCTTCATAGTGAGTGATCATGCCGACAACTTGGATGGCGGGAGATCCCGATGCTATTGGGCCAGAACCGATCCATCCTAACTCTGTGTTTTGTTTCAACAGGCCTTCTGTACTTTTTTGCATGCCGTTTAAAATGATATTGGCGTATTCTTTTACGCCTAATATACCATCTATTGCACCTGGTGTCATGAATGTTGGATCGGCTAGCACTTCATTCTTCCAACCATTTATGCTGTTTATGTGTAGGTGTCGTTTTGGCATGGATTGAGTAAATTTTGGAAGTACAATCATATTGACATCCATGGAGAATATGCTCATAAATCGTGGTTTTATCTGTGCGTCAATAGACCATTTAGAGACTTTTGGTTCTCCGTTACAAATTCCTGAGATTTGTGATCTGATGCTATGATGTGGTAATCCCAGCCGATTTGCAGCTTTTTCAGTAATAATGGATATCTGTGACCCTTGATCAATAAGAATCCGGGAAACTTGATGTGCTCACTTCTACTAGAGCAGTAGCGAGTAGGACGTTTTCTTCATTTCTACTGGCGTGGTCAGACATTGCGCCTCTTGGTGGATAATGTTCTGCTCTTCTTGTTGGTGGGTATCGTTGAGTATTTCGCGGTTGGGAAGTTGTCGGTCTTTCTTCGCAGTTGTGCTGCCTGTTTGAATTTTGTTGCTGTCTTTCCATGTGTAGGAGTGTATGGTGTTGATGACTGCAGATGCTACATTTTGCATGGCTGAAACATCCGTTATTGATGTCATGGTTGAGACAATTGTAGCAGATGCATTTTTCTTGAACATATCTATTTCTTTCCTGTGCTGAAATTCCTTTGAACCCTGACAGTGGTACGTTATGTGTTGGTCTTGGCAGAAGAGACAGCTTGAGTTAGTGTATTTTCTCTCTGAGCTCGGCTTTCGTTCTGATCCTGGAATAGTTTCTAGTGACTAAAATCTTCTTTCCAAGAATTTCATAAATTCTTCCAACTATGGAACGTCGTGAGGCTTCTCAAGACTTTGTTCATATAGACGGCTGGTTTCGGAGTCCCACTTTCTCATTGTCATTCGGATTACTATGGGTCTCCAGGTGTCAACTTTGACGTCTAGATTTTTTAGTCCTTGTAGATACTCGCTGGTGACATCATGCAGCTGCTTTAGCTTCTCGGCGTTCTCTCTTGAGACTTCTGGTAGGTCTATTAGCTTGTCTAGGAGCTTAAATATTAGAAGCCTTTTGTTTTCATAACGCTTTTGTATTAGGTCCCATGCTGAATCGTAGTTGGCCGCAATTGCTTCTAAGTGTTGGATTAGCTTGCTTGCTTCTCCCCTGGTATTATAGTTTTTAAGTAGTGCATCTTGTCGGCTTTGTTCAACCGTAAACTTTCATGTATGACCCTTCTGAAAATGTCGAAAAATGGAGACCAGTTTTCATACCTTCCATGGAAAATTGGAATTTGTACTTTTGGTAGTTGCAGGTTCTGTTGTGGTTGATTAACTAGTATTTGTTGAGGTGGAATGACGACATTCTGCTAGATTTTTGCCGCTAACGCTTCAGTGAAATCATCGAATTGGCTCTGGATTTGTTTGTACACGTCCATGGTGAAGTACTTATCTTGATGGCTATTTTCACTTACGGCGACTTCTTCATACCGGTTTTGGATTGCATCCCATTGTTTCTTGCTTGATTCCGTCAGATGTTTATACCGGAATTCTGATTTTTCTAGCGTAAGTTCCTACCTAATTTGGGCGAGAATGTCTTCCAATTGCTGTATTTTGAAGTTTTGCGTTTTTATTCGTTTCTCTTGGATGCTGACGTTGAATGGCTCAGATTGGATTGTTGTTGGTTTGGTCTTTGGGCATGTTAGCAAGTAGGTAGGTTTTAAACTCGTAGAATTTGGCATACAATTATTGGGCATATTGCTTTGTGAAGTATTGATGTTCGCTGTACTCATTTATTTTTATCATCGCGGCCTCGTTTTTTTGGATTGTTTGTAGTATCGCATCCAGATTGGTCAAGTGCTTTTGGACCATTGTTTTGGACGTAGGCCTCGGTTTTCCTATCGACCAAGTCTTTCTTGCAGTTACTCAGTAGTTGAATGATTTGCATTCCTGATTTTTCTTATTCTCGTGCGAGACGGTCAAGTTCCTCCTTTTCTGCCATGACTGTGTTTGACAGGTGACTAAATTGTTTTGATGACCATTTATTCTGGACAGACGTACGGTTGTATGGAATGACGTTGTGGAAGAATGGCAAATTTTCTGGACTGTCTGTATGGAAAGACGTTGTGGACGGACGGCGAGTCTTCTGGACTGGCTGTATAGACGGACGTTGTGGACGGACAGCGAGTCTTCTGGACTTTTTTTAGGCTCGAAGGACCAATGTGCAAACTTTGCTCGCAGATTATGCTTGCCCAACTCGGCTAGGTTGAGCAGCGGGACAATTGTATCGTTTTCTGTCAATCAGCAGTCTCACTGTCTGCGTTGGCCAAGAAGGCTTGCGCACAGAAAACGAATTGAGTGGAACATCTTTTGAACTTAGATGAATACTGATTTATTTCGTATCTTACATTCCTTTTTATATTAGATTTTGGTAAACTAATTGTGACAAAAACTGCAAAAATATAAAACACTGTGACCGTAATTACTTAAATAGGTACATGCTGGAATGCAACTTACGATGTTTGGATATTTTTATATCCAAACATTGTGACTAACTAAAATCTCATATAGCAAGCTGACCGTGATATTGAATAAAATATAAATATACGAAGTCGGTCAAATTACGCCGGCGAAGGTTAATCACTGTTGAATTGTTCTAATTAAACACCAAATGAACTGAAATTTTGAGGAATTGTAGTCTTCTACTAGGATAGGATTCACTGAAAGTTTCAGTTTCCTATCTATTTTAGAATTAGAAATATGATATTCCAAATTTTCTGGAAATTTTAGTACTTGAAGCAGAACAGAAGAAACAAACCAACTTTTCAATAAATATATTTCGACAAAGTCATTAATCTTGAAAATTGCTCAATTGGACCAACAGGACACTCTGGATAAAGTTGATCGCATTTTCCTATCTTTCTGCCACATTTTTCAGCAACAAGATAATCGTGGTTACTAGGGTCTAGCATCTCATCATTTGTAGCTGAAGGCCTGTAAGTTGCAATTTTTGCAAATGTTCCAGGAAAAAAAATATTATTTTACTTACGTGAGAATAGTATGGACAATTTCAGCCAAAAGACCAGAACGTTCTTCCAACCCAATGGCAGCAATTTCACAAATCGATTTTAGCAAACAAGCTTTTCCATCCATATAGTGGTTACTGAAACAGGACTGGGCATAATGTAAAATTGATTTATATGCCGCATCGATTACCTTTTCATGTAATGTTCAATCAATTGATACATCGTCCATCTAGACATTGAGCGCTTTTTTCTTTCAAAATCCAATTGTGGATGTGTGTAATAGCTACTGTTGTTTGGCAATTGATAATAGGATTTAACGAATAAACCTAATGTGACGCTATTTGGTCCTACTTCGAAAGGAATGCCTATACCAAAAATCATCTGAAAGTAATTTATGTGTTTTATTTAACTACAGAAATTTGTGAAAATGAAGAGATACATGACTAACAACCCCATTAAGTAGATATATGGAATTTTCGAGAAAAATATTAATAAGAAACAAAGTGGCAGTCATTCCAATGTATGTTGACAATAAGCGGCAATAGATCTACGGAAACGTAACTTACCGCTACCCAATTCACTCCCTCTTTCCATACCAAATATCTCTTATTTCTTGACAAATGTTTCAATGTTCCATCAACTACAGCCAAATTTTCATTGGATTCTATACTAACAAAAGCCATGAAAAGTAAAACAAGAACTATTCTCATAGTTCAAAAAAAACTTTAGGCATAAAATGATTTTTCTAAAAATTTTAAGGCGACTGGAATAGTTTTGTGTATTTTTACTATAATAGATGCTAATGATATGATTCTATAGATATAATTCACGTCAAATTGTATTGATAAGTTCATCAATTCACTAAAAATTGTGTTTTTGGGTCAAGATGTCATCAGAATATATCGACTATGTAACGTTAATAAAACATCAATAGGAATACGATATACGCTTTTGATGTTAGTTAAATATTTGCTTTCCTAGATCTAAATCTAGGCATTGCTGGCAGTTTATTGAAGCGTTTACTTTAGATAAACAGGAATTTAAAGTTTCTAGTTTCCATATGCTTTCTTGAGCATTAAGACTTAAGGAATCTACTTAAATATTTCCTTTCCATTAAGTTAATCCTGCTAGTTTTTTTTTTGTAGATGGTGGAATCTATGCTCACTAAATCACAACCCTCTCAACTTATCAATCATGCTGATGGAATTCATCTTTCATTTTGGGTCTACAAGCTCATACCAAAAATACACTAAATTATTGCCCAGGTTTTTATTACCGAGTTTACATCAGGATATTTTAGGAGTGTAAACAGTAAAACAGCTTATAATTTAATATAAAAACTAGATTAAACTTTAGGGAAATTTTATTAAAACTCGAAAACTTTAGTATACAAACTTATTCACGGACATAAACTTTGAAAACTGCTGCACAGGATCGACGGGACACTCGGGGAAAACGTGAGAACAACTTTCAACTTCTCGGCCCAACTTTTCGGCTTCGTGGTACTCGTTGTGTATGTGATTTTCGATTTCGTCGTCGGTGGAAGAAGGCCTGAATAATATTAAATTAGCATTTCCAAGGCAAAATAAATTAAATCTCTACAAATTAAATAACCTCAAGTTGCCTTCACCGAAAAAAAAAATCCAATACTGTTTGTTATCTCGTCTGGTTTCATTCAATTTTAAAATAACACGATCGGCAAAGCCCCATTTATACTACTTACGTGAGAATGCTATGAAAAATTTCCGCTATCAGTCCCGATTTTTGTTCGAGCGGAACTGCGGATATCTCGCATATCGATTTCAGGAGACAGGCTTTACCATCTGGATAGTTATTTCTAGAACAATGGATTTCGTACAATAGAAATAAATGACATCCCGGAATAAGGCAATTTAATAGAACATCAATAATGCTTACCGGTCTAAATAATTCTCGATGGCTTCGTAAATTTTCCATCTTGTAGCTGAACGTTTGCTTCGGCTTTTCCTATCCAATATACCGATTTCTGGATTTGTAAAAATACTGCTGTTTGTTGGTAATAAATAAAAAGCCTTCATAACCATACCCAGTGTTATACTTTGGTGTTCTACATTTACTGGTACACCGATACCAAAAATAACCTTAAATTAAAAAAATAAATAAATAAAAATCACTAAATCAAAAAATATATCCATACCGAGACCCAATTCGTTCCTTCCTTCCAAATAAGCCATCTTTTTTGCCTTGAGAGTAACTGTTTGCTAGTATCTAAAAGTTTTACGTTATGTTCGTTCCCGAGAATCCCATTTCCTTCAATGCCAGCGAAAAGTATTATAAATAAAGTTAGATACGAAAATTTCATTTTGGCTGACCCTAGGATTTGGTGTTGGAATGTGAATGATAATTTTCTTGGTCAATACTCGCTTTGGGTAACGGTATATGTAGGATAGTGTAAATGGATTTGATATATACAGGGCCGAGCATAAATCTATTAACACTTTAATGAAATGTGATACAATTTAACAAAATATATATTAACTTCTAATGGGTTTACATAACTGTATAATAAATAAATAATAACTGTAACTATTAACAGATCCATGGTGAACGCTGTTTCTGAAATAATAATATTTTGTAATTTTAATACACATCACAAGAAAATCATGCTTCATTTAAAAAGTTCTTTAAAATATAAAGTAGGGACTGCTACAGTGATACTAGTAATATATTTGGTATTTCAAGTGGAAAGTAGAGAGTTCTCGCTGAAAAAAAGGGTCAGAAGAACAGTGTTGTTCACTAAAAGTAGCAAGTTTTTTGTAAGGATATTGTTTCAAATTATTCATAGTTAGTAATTAACCTGTTCTTTTTTTCAGTTTCGTATTAACGGTAAAGACAATGTTTTGAACTATACAACCTTATTGGCACACGGTTGGGGGTTCCGTATAAATTTCGATTTACCATCCACTTTGGCTCAGAGGCATCGTTTCTTTAAAAGGGACGTGCATCAGGATGTGGAAAATATAAAAGATCCGTAAGTTGTATAGTAGTGATAGATAATATAAAACAAGTGTAAAATTTGGAAATTTTTTCAAACAAAAGCACACCTAACTTTTTTCATGAATGAATTCATTCAATTATCAAAATATCTAAATTTTTCAAATCTTTCAAATGAATACCTCAAAAGCTGAAATTCACAAAAAAGACGTCAGAGTTGGACTGCAAAATTAGCTATTAGGATACCTAATTGTCTGATGTTTTGGATTTCGTACAATTATAGAACCTATGGAAGGTTAAACAACTGTCATATTTATGTGCAAGAAAATATAATTTTCAATGCATTATCATGTTCCCGAAAACTACCATTCGCTTAGTGAGACAACAGACCAATTCACCAATTTGAACAACCAATGGGAGCTTTGTCAAATATTCCTGAAGAATCAAAATATGATCCAGCATGGGGTGCATCCCAATGTCATTTATATTCGCCAATACACATCAGAAATCGAATTGAAAACCCTCACTTTGGTATAGTGCATAAATGACTAATATGTAATTCGGCAGCAAATAGTTCTAAAACCGATTAATCTCCAGACTTGAGGAAAAAGATGGAAGAGTAAAAACGGGAAACGTAATGATGTTGAGTTACTTTTAAAAACACACACTATCAGAATTCTTAATCATCTTGAAAAGGAAAATACAACAAGCAATTTTCAAATTGATGAACTCGTAATCCAGGTCGATCTGTATAAGGATATTTTTTTCTATTCCGTTTCCATAACCTCTGTTTGCAATTCTTTGTTATTATTTTAATAATGACTTCTCATGCCTTATTTTAAACCGTACGATTTTTGGTGACTCAAACAGCAGTTTGAAGCAGATCCATGTGTGGTCAGACGTCAGACATAGGTATATCCGAAGAGACGTGCCATCCTGCTATTTTGTCGCATATGCTTATAGATATTAGAGTGATGTCTAATATTGTTTTATAGCTAGAGGTTAAAAGAGTAGGTTCGTTGCCTCTATTTATTATAGAATTTGAGGATTATTCTATTTCGAAAAAAAAAAAAAAAAAAAAATGGATAATGTGGTATTTTTGAATGAAAAAACACGAACAAACACGGATGTCTTCTGATAATTTCTATTATTTGGAACTACAACATTTAACTTGAACTCTTACTTCGTCGTGATTAAACTTCTTTGTATCGTCGTAATTTGTGGACCGTCGCTTACACACGTTGTGAACCTCCTTTGGTATGTTCTTCTTGAACCACTGTTTTTCAGTTGCTAATCTACCTTCTTCTCATGACACTCATGATACTGGTCATGTACACCTTTACCAAAGGTGCCAACTCCACCGGTTGCTGGTATATTTCCCACAGCTCGGCAGTCCTGAGTTACATCGACCTCCGATGTTATTTCGTCTTCTTCCATCATCGTAGCTTATCCATGGTTTTAAAAACTCAGAACATGTAGATGTTTTCATGGGCCCTTCATGACAACCAATCTTCATAACATCGTAAGTGTTGTTTTCCTTTACTTTGATTATATCATAGAGACCTAGAAACTTTATCTTCAGCTTGAGCCCTAGCCCATGTTGAGTTTGTTTAATGGCTACTAAGTCTCCAACTTCATAATCTTTTGGTTCTTTCCTCTTTTTGTCATAGTGAGCTTTGTTCTCTTCCTGTATGTTCTTTATATGATGTTTTGCTGTCTTCCGTAATTTGTCTCGAGATTCTCCAAATATTTTAATGGTTTCTTCTTCTATCGTTTCCTTAATGTTTAGATCCCCTGGCTTTATTATTACTCCAAACATAACGTCGTTAATTTCACTAATGGGCGTATATTGAATTTCTTACATTTTACAAGGGTATATGATATACGCCTTTTAGGAAGATGCATATTTCTTGTTTCAAAATATACATCTTAAAGAAAAATGTGTATAACTCAGAAACTACTGGCAGTTCATATGCGCCAATTGGAGGGCGTAAAAATTTGATGTTTTGCGACATAAATTCCCTGAAAACGAATAATCGCCTATTTCTCATATACTTCCCTTTGTCAAATTAACGACGATAAGTTCAAATGGCATCATGCTTATGGCTTTCTGATAGCTAGAGTTTTCCCTTTTCTGAATTGATTCTACATGTTGGATCATCCTTGGAAAGTTTAGTTAACACGTTTGCAATTATAGTATTTATTCGCTAAATTTGTCCATTAGGTACTATTATTAGGTTTTCCACTTGTTACTGTATGATGCTTAACTTTCTTTACTTTACCGTAATTTTGAAATTCCTTTGAGGTGAATGCTATACCGCTCTCTGATACAAGATTTTTAGGGTTTCCAAAAACGTTGCTATGAGATTCTAATTTCTTAATTACTTCTCTCGAAGTAGTTGATTTTGTGGGATAGAGCCATTCAAATTTTGTAAAACTATCTATAATAGTTAAGACGTGTTTGTAGTTTTTATTGTTCGACCTGACCTAGATGATCTATATTGTAAGAATTTAGCGGTAAGTATATCATCTTTTTCTAATGGGTGTGGGAAGCCTTTGTTTACCCCTCTTCCTATTTCCGACCATGCATGGAACTTAACAAGATATTATTTTTTCTATTTTACATTTGACTTTTGGAATAAAGTAATACTGCTTTAGAGCTTCTTCCGACTTCTTCGCTGCAATATGACCATCATCATGTATAATTTTTATAATTTCGTTCTGCATGGATAGGAATACCTAACAATTCACTTTCATATGATAATTTGTACAGTATTCCATTTCTCAAAGTATAGTTTTTATAGGGCTTTTCACACAAAATATTCTTAACGGCTTCTAATTCTTCATCTGTTTCTGGTGCACGTTGATTCTTGTGACTAGATATTCTTCGCCCTGTATGGTCATAATCAGGTATCTTGATAATGCATCTATTTATAATCAAATTCGTCGATCAACAACGCCTATCTTGCTATTTTTGTTGATATATCTTCTTTCTCCATAGTATTTGTGAAAGCTGAACAATCTGGAACTAGTTTCCTGACTGTTTCCAACCAATGAAATTCGCTCTGACTGGTATGTGATTTCTGTGCGAACAGACCTTAAATCAACTTATTGACACCTTTAATTTAACACATCATTTAGTGCAAAGATGATAGGTGTCAAAGCAGAGACCGCGGGCCCTTGCCCCAATAAGCTGTCCTGCCACCCTTTTCCGGCAAGTTCTCACGAGGCAGGATCGACATTTTAGATAGGGGACAACGAGACCTTCAATCTGATACCCTACTTAGGTCATAACGTAACACTACCCCCTCCATGGGGGTAGTGTTACGTTTTTTTCAATTTGTTAATAGTTATTTTCCTAACAAGTGCGCAAAGTGATACTTTCCCGCACGAAAAAGCAGTTAGACGAACGACGCGAAGCGGAGTTCGGATAAGCTTTGAGTGCGGGAAAGACACTTTGCGCAAGTGTTAGGAACAATACTTTTTCTACGAGTGTCCGAAGATTTGCATAGCATCCAGAGAAGAGCTGTACCTAATCTTCTTAAATGTTTCCAGAAGCTCAAAACTAGAAATTTTTTCTCCTAGTTCAATGTGTTGTATTTTCACTTTTTTTTTTCAGTGATCAGCCAGCTTGACTTTATTTGCAACATTGGTTGTGCTAGCGAGGTTTACTTAAAATTTGAACAAGTCGTTAGGTTTGTTTTTCCTGCCAAATTGAGACTTAATTTGCCACGATGATATTTTTTCGTGTGACTTGTTAAATTAGTTTTAAGTAGCCACAAGTACAGCAACTTCCCAAAATATATTATCCATTTTTGCTTGCTTTATCATAGATCTTGCTTTGTCTATTGGTGTCTGATTCATTCTTCCGTAGAACCATTAAGTTGGGGAGTATGTGGAGGAGTATAACTTACAGTCCGACTTTTATAATCTAACACTCTAAAGGAATGTGAGTTGGTGAATCCCCATACCAATAACGGTCACCTGACTTCACATCTATTTTTGCTGGATTTTTCCTCCGCTCACTCCTTAATACAGAAAGTGTCAAATTAAAAAAACTAAACATACCCTGAATGCTTTTCTTGGAACAAAAATAACATCAGGCCCTTATTTCTGAATATAGGTTTATCCAAAAACCCACAAAACATTGAAAAATCGAGTATAAATGCGGTTACTATGTGTAACAAAAATGAGTGCGCAAAGAGTTTCCGTGCGCAAAGTGCGCACGCAAGTAGAAAATAGTTATTTTCCTAACAAGTGCGCAAAGTGTTACTTTTCCGCACGCAAACACAGTTATACGAACGACGCGAAGCGGAGTTCGGATACGTGTTTGCGTGCGGAAAAGACACTTTGCGCACGTGTTAGGAACAAAATTTTTCCTACGAGCTTCATATCAGGTAGGTAACAACAAAAATTTAAAAAAAAAACGATAATTTGTTTAATTATTTTTAATTAACTTGAAGGGAACCTATGCATTTATCAAAAAATTACATAACAAAAAAAAAATATAACAGAAAATCATCGTCAGAGCTCTTCATCTTAAAGCGTTTAATGGCGATTTCCATTTGTCATCAGTGCCGCACTGAGTGCATCCGCATCTTTTTCTAAAAGCATGTAACATGTAAGGATAAGGATACATTTTTTTGCCCTGTTTCGACAAATGGAAAATGCTATAAATTTGATGAGAAAGTTTGTAGATGCATATATATAGAAAACAAATCTGACAATGTGTTGAAGTTAATTAAATTTGGTGTTTGTAGGTATAGATGTTAGCTGGAACAGGAACAGAGGAAAAATTTGTCATCATGTGTCAAAGTCGACAGGTGTACTTATTGTTGCTTGACAATTATTTTTACTTTTCGGCACTCAGTGCGGATAAGGCCTGTATCCGCACTGAGTGCGGAAAAGTGCAACTTTGAGAACCGAAATGCGTGCGGAAAAGTACTACTTTGCGCACGCTCGTAGGAAATAGTTATTTTCCTAACAAGTGCGCAAAGTGTTACTTTTCCGCACGCAAACACAGTTATACGAACGACG